TTGAAAGAAAAAAATTGATATAAATTATTCGTAATCTTTGAAAAATGTACTTGCTATTCTACAGTTTGCTTTCACACTCGCTGCTTGTGACAATTTGTACCTGATAGTTTTCTCTCCCCTTCCTTGGGTCTATACCGACACATCCTTGCTCAAAATAACATCGGAAATGAAACGGCGTTGCTAGATATTTGGACGTCGAGAGAGATGGTAGAATTTGGGTCTACTGAAACTTAGTTGGTAATGGTCAGTACATAGGCTCGTGTATTGAGAGAGTAACGTCTGACCTTAGTGTATACTTAGAAATAAAAATTATTAATATAAATGAAAATTATTTCTTGATTCAATTTTGTTTTACATAAAAATTGGAATAAATATATCATTTGGTTTTCAAGAGAGAAATTTGGAAGTCATTGGTTACAAGTAAGTTTTTTTTTTTATTGAAAATATGCAGTAAAATATCGCGTCCCTCATGGTAAGAAGGAATGTATATATACAATACACATAAATAGTATACTTTGTGTTCCATCTGTACTTCACCAGACCAAAATATCATCAAGTTCACCAAATACTAGAAATATAAGTACAGTAAAAGAAATATAATTTTTAAAAATAACAAACAAGCTTTGTATTAATTAAAAAAAAAAAATAATTTTTTTATTCTTGCAAAATTTTATTAGTTAAAAATTAATAAGAAATAAAAACAATGGTTTCAAATATTTATATTTTTAAATCAACTCATTTATTTTAATTAGAATTTTTCTTGGATTTACATTTTTGATTAAAAAAACTGATAAGATGTATGTTAAAAATTGATTTTTAACTTTTTCTTTGACATTAATTGTTATGATGGTTCAAAAAACTTTTGATCGAAATTTTTTTTATATTTATATTTCTCAGTAATTCGAAAAAAATTCGTATTCCCTTCCGCTGAACTCTTAAATTCGCGATATCTCGAATTATTTAGACTCTGTAACTCGAACTTAGTATTATTTCCTTTCCAGTATCGATAAAGGATATTTATACTCTATAACTCGAATTTTAAAAGTGAAACACTATAAGTTGAAGTTAGTAAAATATAAAGACGTTTTTCTCCGAACTGTCCAAGCTTATAGCATTAAAATCTAAATTCTTATAAGAATTTTCAATGCTTTTTATATTCATGTTTGCAATACCTATATATTATTTTTCTTACAAATCAAGTGTTTTCTTACTTTTTTTGGTCTACTTGCAAATTTTGAACATCTTGTTAAGTCAAAAATTCTTTAACTCGAAGTTTTTATCACTTCCCTTAAAGTTCGAGTTATCAAGAGTCCACTGTATTACTATATTTATAGTCTAATTGGTGACTATTCATAGTCACTAACTATCACCTTCAAAAACTTTATTTTTTCAATGACATCTCATAAATTTTAGAATCAAATAAAACATATAATTTCCAAAAAAGAGCATACGAGTTATTTTTACGGAAACTTTATATTACCCGATTTAAAAATTTTTTCAAAAATTAATAAATTTACTGCGTCATATCTGTAATTAATTTCCATTTGACAAAAAAATTTTTTTCTGTATCATACAACTTGATACATCTAAAACCCCAAAAATAATTAATCACAATTTTTAGATAGCAGTAAAAATGTTCAATAACCTAAAAATGAATCCTTTGCATCAGTCTTTTGACATCAACAAAGAATTGCAAACCGCAATAGTATCCAACGACTTACCCAGAGTGGAGCAACTTGTCCAATACGGCGCAAATGTAAACTTCCGTACCTCCGAAGGACAACCAGTCCTCCACTTGGCGATCAACATCGACGCCTATTCCATTGCAGAGCGTCTTCTAAAATTCGGTGCAAATCCTCATGCAGTGTCAATGAAACCAAGCCGAGAAGGCTACACACCGTTGCATTTCGCATGTCTGAAAGATCACCAGGAGCTCATGGAATCCTTGATCACCATCTATCACGCTGATCCACGAGTTATTGCTGCTGATGGTGTTCAACCGATACACTTCGTTCTGCTCAATGACAACAGTGATATCATAAAGCTGTTTTTGGAAAGATCAGTGAGTCCAGAAACTCGAATAGATAAATTAGTCTTTGATAAATTCTACCGAGAGAGCAGTATAAGTTACTGGCGCGGTGACTTCGGTGATGATGTATCATTGTTAACATTCGCTGTTCTTTACGACAAATATAAATGCATCCCATCGTTGATAGAACACGGCGCTAATGTGAGAGTCAAAAATGTTAAGAATCAAACGCTATTGATGAACGCAGCCTTTCATCGGCATTTAGTCACCGCGAGGTATCTAGTCGCAAATTTGAGTAGAGCAGAAATAAATTACGTTGACAATGACGGCTTCACTGCGCTGCACCATCTTTTCATCCAAGAAATTCAGCACTATCGACGAAACCAACCCAAAGGAGAACAGTCACGTGGAGCTTACTTCAGATCTGAAATAGTGGAGCTGCTCGTAAACTTCGGTGCCAATATCAACGCCTTAATTCGCGGAGATCCTTCGACTCTTCTGGTCAATATGGTTGCTTATCTTCGGGATTATCAGCTGCTAGATTTTTTGCTACCGAGGCAAAAATTTCTGCCGATTTTCCAACCAATATTCTACGCCATGATGCCTAGCTCTGAAGAATATCCGTCGAACTACCTGCCCCTGGTCAGAAACGACGACTCAATGTGGTACGCCTCCTACACCATGATTGACACCATCATCAAAGACATAAAGCTGAGGATCGCTATGGGATATCCAGTCGTATCTGAAGAAATCGCCAGGCTGAACAACGTTAATTTGAAGTACTTGCGAGACAACGAGTATCATCAAACTGTTGAGCAGTTGAAGCACCGAAGACTAAAATTTAATAATAAAACGATGTCTGTTTATGAAATTTTATCAAAAAAAGAAAGTGAGTTACAAGAAATGGCGGTTGACAATCATTTTCTTCATGCACTTGATAATTATCACAGAAAAGCGCTCTATGATGAAGAAAGGATTGTGACCATGATCAAGGTACATGTTGATCATGTATCGCGAGAACCTCTTTTGAAGAAAGTTAGAAAACTTTCGTTTTTTCCAAATACTTTCTTTCATAATATTCCTTTAGTATGTGTTGTGGAAATAGCAAAATATTTAGATGTTTATGATCTAAGGAGTTTTGTAAACGCTTATTGTCAGTTTTATTGTTAGTTTTTTACTAAAATTATATTTAATTTCAAAGAATTCTTTTATTTAGTTTTTAAGTTTTAGTTAGGTTGATAATTATATTGTTATGAATTTACATGTAAAATATTTTGTATTTATATTTATTGTATTAAAGAAATGTTGGTTTGTCGTAAATTTTTTTTTTTTTTTTTCAATGAATTCTTGTTTTAATTGAAAAATTCCAAGTTTATATTAATTTTTTTTGCATGATGTAAAAGGTAGTTTTAGACTTGGGTTGGTAAGATTGTAAAATATATAATAAATGGTATCATGCATGAATATTACGGTGGGTAATATATCACCCGTGGGTATTACCGCGGGTCTAGGTATTGCTGCGGATTTTTTTGTTTATGTTTCTAATTAAAAAAAAAAAATATTATTAGTAATTGAAACCTTAAAGGAAATATCTTCATACTTTAACACGTACAAAAATTATTCCATTTGTTCTCAATGAATTAACAATTAACGGGCTATAGAGATAGAAAATTGTAGTAAATTTTATTTTCTTTTAAATAAATGGTTCAATTTTCTTATTTTTTTATAAAAATGGAAAATAACTCTTCTACGATATCAGAGATTTGAAATATTCAATACTTAATTAGTTTTTTATTTAAATTTTTCTTAATTATTTAATTATATTCAATATGAATTTATTGTTAAGTTACATACTTGATTATATATTTTAAAGTGATTTAATTTTTTTTTTATTCAAGTTTTAAATTATTTATATGAATATAGGTATGCTATTTACTGTTATTAATATTTAAAGTTATTTTTGTAAAAATTAGTCAATTTATCAAATAAAAAGCATATTATAACTTTTATAATTAATTATGAACGTATCAATTATTAATACTGTGAATTAATTAAAATTAATTGATCAGATATTTAATAATTTTTCTAATTAATAAATTACTGCATAAAAAAAATAATAATAAAGTTAGCCGACGTTTTTAATTTTTTGTTTTTTTTTTTCTCTCATTAAATTACAACTGAAAAATATTTTTGAAAAAATGCACTTATAGTTTTTAAATTTTTTTACAAATGAAAATTTTTTTTTATTTTTCTGTGATAATTATTTCAATAAAAAAAAATTATAAAAATTTTTAGATGTCGGCTAACTTAATTTTCATGAAAAAAAATTGACAGAAAATTTAATAAATAAAAAATACAATTTTTCGCAACAAATTTTTTTGTTAAATAAAATTAAAAAATGGTCAAGTGACAGCTAACTTTAATATCATGATTATGGTAATATATTTGAATCTAGTAACTCTTGGTGCCTAAGAATAGATGACTAGTGCGCATGCGCATGCGCAAAATTGGTAAAAATTACTATTTTCCCTTCCATTTCTTCGGGCGTATATTCACGGTCAAAAACCGGCCTTGTAAACACCTTGAAAACGTGATAACCAGCATCATTCCATCGACAATACCATCATCACCTAAAAATATTCCAATCATTACTATCATTAACATCACTGAAAAATTAAAGTATATTAAATTTAAAAAGTCATAAATTATTTTAAAAAGTTTACTATTTAACAAGAAATCAATAATGAGTAATAAGTACTTTTAATGGAATTGCATTAAGTTAACTAGTGCACCAGTTAACTAGTGAGCGAAAGGAGCGCCACTTTCTCGTAAGTGGATGGTGAGCCAACCCGGCTTCCGTAGTACAATACAAATGTAACAACGAACTATAACCTCTTGTACTTATCTCGTATTTATGTACTCGGACTTAAAAGGCTTTAAAATAAGATAATATATTTTTTATTAACTCTCAATGACGTCTAAATTGAAATTCATTGCTCCAGGTGAGTCATATATACACATTTTAAATTTTATGTTTTTCATAATACAGTTAAATGTGAAAAACAATTTTTATTACTCATAACATAAAACTATTATAAATGATAATAAAAAAATTACTAATAATGTGTACACAGGTGATAGTTCATGGCACGAAGACAAACCCGACATTGATGAACATTCATCAACTCAGTTTATTTATAATGCAAACCATTCACTGGCATTAGATTTGCAACGTAAACGCTTGCCAATATTTAAAAATCGATCTCACATTGTATACTTATTAGAAAATTATCAAACATTGGTTCTGATTGGAGAAACTGGTTGTGGAAAAAGCACACAAATACCTCAGGTAATTATAAATTATTCATTATAAAAAACAAGTTTATTTTACTACCTATAAAAATCCTTAAGCAAAAAAATTACAAGTAAAAACTGACATTAAAGGTAGTACTACCGTTACAACAAGTGTCAAATCCTAAAACCTAACCTTATTTGATTAACGTAGTAGATTTCCCTATACTAAATTACGTTGGAGAAAGAGAGACAGAGATAAATTTTGAATGTTTTTTACATATTAATAAATATTCTCATATTCTTGGAAACCATACTGATTGTTAATAAATATGTTCTAGATGTTATTTCCTCTCGTTGTCTTGATTTTTATAAGAATCTGAACGTCCAGTTTTGTGAAATAAAATAAAGTCTGTGATTCTCCATAAGGATCAATGGTAAAAGTAAAAATATGTATAGATATTAATATCTTTTTTTCAGGACTTGCTCGGCTTCCAAAAATTTTACTGCTTAATTATAATATTATAAAGTACCAATATGCCAAATTTCATTAAATTCTGAACGTTAATTCTAAAACCGGTAGTACTACCTTAAAGTTAGCAGCCACTTAAAAATTTTTGAATTTTTTTATCAAAAAAATTTGTTGCAAAAAATTATTTTTAAAAAATTGCATTTTCTATTTTTTAAAATTTCTACATGTCAAATTTTTTTTCTAATTTTTTGTTTTTACACTAATTTATTTGCTATAAAATTTTTAAAATTATTAAAAATATGCTAAATTAATTTTCATGTAAAAACTTTAAAAGATTAGACTTTACACTGATCAATTATTCTTAGAGAAATTTTATGAATAAAAATTCCATTGCAGACACTGATAGAAACAATCTTTTGAAACATACCTCTATATTTTGAATCAGTTACACGTGTATTTTCATTTATAATTAATGACTAAGTATTGATGAGTGCACGGCACGTATGTGATGCCAATTGATGATAAGAATGTGAGATAAGATAAAACAAAACATATTGAGAATAAAGCTAATAAAAAAATATATATATAAAATAAAACCTGTTCCCACGAATCTCACACATCACATTGCCTTCCGAACAGTTTACTGTAAACGAACATATTTAAGCTTAAAATGATAACTTACACAGTGGAAAAACGACTGATATTGTCATTTTTTATGGTGTACATATTTTTTTGTATTGCAATGGATTTACGGTTTTATTATCGTGTGCAAAATTACTCAATACGGCCTACAAAGGATGAGCCTAAGTATGACTCAACAGTACCTTGTGATTTAAATCCATTTTGTGCAGTGACAGTAAAAGGCTTGATGCTGGATTATCTTAATTTTTATGTACTTGGACCGCTGGCAGCTGCTGCGGATAGAATATTTTTACTAAGTAAAATGGAATGGCTGTCACCGAACTACATAAGTTTTTTTCATGTATTCATAGCCGGCTTGGCTGGTAAATTAATATCTAATAAATCATTATCCCAGCGTAGAATTGGCGTCTTAGTATTTCAAGTCCGCTCTTGGCTGGATGACGTTGATGGATTAGTTGCGAGAAAGCGTAAAAATATTAGCGGTGAACATTCAGATGTTGGAAGCTCTGGATATTATGTCGACGCTATTTGTGATTCACTTGGAACTGTTGCGCTAATTATTGGAATATATTACTACCTCAAATCTAACTTAGCCGCTCGAGGACGTGGTGAATATGTTAGATTACAACCATTTGTTACTTCTATTGAAAACGCTCCTATTGGCTCTTGTATTGTTGATAAGAAGAAAATACGCTTTAACAGTATTGTACCAACGATATTATTATTTACTGGTACGTTAATTGCATCGAGCTTGGCGTGGAATCGCTACATTGATTTGTACCAAAATTTATTAGAAGGAGATTACCAAGTATCTGCAGCTCTTTCCGAAGACGTTTTTTACCACAAACAATCAGATGTTATACGCAGCAGTTTTTTTTTGTTTATAACAACTGCGTGGAAACTTATTAATCCACACGCTCTTACTGATTACCTTTTAGTTTCTATTTTTATTGATAAGTTATGGGGGTATCTCCATTCCGCCTGTTGGATGACTTATGTTGTTATATTTTGTTTTGTTTATCTATCTGATTTTCATTATATGCAAAACTATAAATATATATGGGATATCGGGTCTTCGTTAGCTGTTTCTAGTGAAACAATTAGCAATAACACTTTATTATGATTAAAATTTAATTATTTGTCGGTGATAATCAGCAGATTCTATGACTTGAGTTTTATATATTTTATTTTTTTTACTTTGTGTACCATTTGATTGATAAAAAAAATTTTTAAACATTACTCGTTAAATTTTATAAAAAAAATATACATTGCTTAAGGGGGTAATCGGAAAAAATAGACCGGATAAAATAGACCCGAAAAAAATCTTAAAATTATGAAAAATTCATATTATTTTATTAAAATTATTATAAAATAAAAATTATAATAGTAATAATAATTTAATAAATCTTAAATAATATGAATTTTTCTTAACTTTAAAATTTTTTCCAGGTCTATTTTTTCCGGGATTCGCTTAAGGGGGATAGCCACTGTGAGGATCGAAAAAACAAGTGATTTTCAGGAATTTTTTTAACTGGGATAATAAAAGAATTTGGAGATCGGATTTTTTTTTTGTTTTATAAAGTATACCTCGAAGATTATTCTCCTAAATTTTGATTAAAAAAAAATCATGTTGTTACAAAGTTATAAGCATTTTTGTGGAGCACTAAAAAAATTTTTCCCACCATCTGGTGTGATCTCTAACTCAAAAACGGATTATTTAGTAGAGGATTTTGAAATTTTGTTTTAAAAAAAATGGTGACATTAAAAATTTTTTCTTATTTTTTTTGGATTCAAACAGCCCTCAAAAATCTTAAAAATCAAAATTTTAAAAATCTACGTGCAACTATAGTTACTGAATAGACATATACGGAAAAAAAATTGCAAATCGATTAATATTTATGCAAATTACAAATTCTACCAGTTCAACAAAAGTAGTTTCAAGAAAAACGCGTTTTCGTCAAAGCGCCGTGCTTGCAATGGTCATTTGACACGCTGCCACAAAAATGACTATAACTCGAAAAATATTCGGAATTTTCATATGAAACTCTAGATAGATATTTTTGAATGTATAAACTTTGATATAATAAAAAAAAAAATTTTTGTTTTTAAATTTCACAGCGGCTATCCCCTTTAAATATTTAAATTCGATATTTTTCGAAAATTTTTAATAAAAAATTACTATGCAATAATTAGTGTGCTGTTGCGGTTTTAAATCAATAATATTTGAAGCTGAAATAATTATAAGAATATATTGATTTTTTTTTAAATTTGTATAGTTGTAGACAAAAATGCTCGATTGTTACGGAGATTTATTTTTATATAAAAGATAAATTTTCAGTTTTCTCTTTTAAATTTCTTCAACTTTTTAAGAATATTTTTTATAAACTTTTTTTAAATCGAAAAATTTTTAGTTATCAAAAATATTACATTGCTTCCTTAAATAAAAATTCTCATTATTTTTTTTACTAAAAAAACAATTCTTCTCCTAGAATTTATTGCTTGGGTGTTACTTAAAAATATTATTCATGACAAGTAAAGATAATATTGAATTACATAATTATGAATCTTATTAAGAAAATGATAAATTAATTTATCGACATCACACCTACTTGACTTGAAAAAAAAAAAAAAAAAAAATAAAAATGCTTGCGTGTTAAATATATTGATAAAAGCATACTTATATTCTCAACATTGTCATGAATATTTAATAATTAGCATAAGTGTAAATATAAGTTAAAAATGTACAATAATATTTTTAAAACATAACTTAAACAATAAAAAATTTTGCCTTGTCTAAAAATAATAAAATAAAAATAACAGATTGCGAATTTTAATCTTTTAAAAGTTTTACAAAATAAAAAGATACATTCAATTAATTTGAGTGTATGAATATTTAAGCATAATACCTAAGGTTGATTGTAATTTATAAAAACCTCACAGATCTCATGCATTGTTTTTTTCTTAAGAGAATTTAAAAATATTTTTTAAACTATAGTTTTATACTAAAGCCAAACTTATGTAAGCTTTGCGCATCTATTTGTGAAATAAATTTGTATATTAATATTTTATTTGCATTGTTAAATATTATTTGTAATTCTCCTGTTGATTTATGATTTTAATTAAAAAAGTAATTTTTTCTTTTTTTAATATTTTGTTAAATAGTATTTAGTAGAAGCAGGATGGTGTACAGATGGAAAAATTATTTGCATAACAGAGCCAAGAAGAGTTGCAGCTACTTCTTTGGCTAATCGAGTTGCGGATGAACGTGGTTGTATTCTTGGTACAGAGGTCGGCTACTCTATAAGATTTGATGATTGTACTGATGAAACTACTAAAATTAAGGTAAAGATTATATATTTTCAACTTTTATTATTTTATAATTTATCAAAACAATTATCTGACCTATAATAGATAAAACATTAAAAATTATGGCATTTAGTAATTATAAGTGATTGAAGCGTTAATGTATTTTTTATTGTTTCACCTAAAAAGAATCCATTAATGAAAAAATTATTTTATTGCTTGCACGTAACTATTTTTATTAATTAAATTAACTAATTGATTCCATGAATTATCATTACAGTACATGACAGAAGGAATTTTGCTGAGAGAAATGATGAGCGACCCTTTACTTACCAAATACTGCATTATAATTTTGGACGAAGTACACGAGCGTACTTTATTAACAGATATAATTATGGGCTTACTCAAAAAAATAATACGAGTAAGAAAATTTATGTTTTCAAAATTTTATAAATCATTACACAAAAATATTATTTTTTAATATTTAAATTTTTATTCAAATATTTACAATTTTTTTGCATGATTGACTTTTAAATGTTAAGTAAAGTTCAAATATTAAAATTAAGAATTTCAATTAAAGTTTCAACTTGATTTAATAAAATTAATTTTTATTTTATAGAAACGCAAGGACTTAAAAGTAATTGTTTCTTCTGCTACTGTTGATGCGGAAGAATTACGAGATTATTTTAATATAAGTACATCAAAAGATCCGAAAGACAGTACATCAACTATTTTAAGCGTTGAGGGCCGATTATATCCTGTAGATATATTTTACGTTAAAGGTAATTTATTTTTTTTTTTTTTTCAAAATTAATATAACAATACTGTTTGTTCGTTTGTCAATTATTAATTATTTCTTTATTAATTATTCTTTAAATTAAATAGAACCAGTACCTGATTATGTGAAAGCAGTAGTTGATAGTGCATTAAAAATTCACTCAAATGAAGAATCTGGCGATATTTTAGCTTTCCTCACTGGTATGGACGAAGTAGATCGTGCTGTTTCGCTTCTTAAAGAACACGCAGAACTTATCAAAGAAGGAAAACGTAAGTTATCAATAAAAAGAAAAAATGTTATTTATTTATCTGGTTTTAATTTAAGTTTTTATCAACAGAAAAATTAATGCCACTGCCAATGTATGGATCTCTGCCCAACGCCGACCAATTAAAAGTATTTTGGAAAGCTCCGAATAACACCCGTAAAGTTGTAATCGCTACTAATATTGCAGAAACATCAATCACGATTCCTAACATTGTCTACAGTAAGAATTATATTTAAAAAAATTTTTTTAATATTCTTCACATTTTTTTTTTCTATATTTAAAAAATACTCTTTATATATTTTAGTAATAGATAGTGGTTTTGCTAAAATACCGTGGTTTGATGTTGACACCCATACAAACAGCCTGATTGTCGCTCCAGTATCCAAAGCATCTGCTGATCAGCGTGTAGGTCGTGCCGGTCGCGTTCAATCTGGAAAAGCGTATAGGTAATTATTAATTATCTATACTATTAAGAGAATAAAAAAAATTTTATGTCCAGGATAGCTGTATGATAAAATCGGTTTTTTTTTAGTGAAATTTAGTATCATTGCAAAGATCTTGATTTAAATTGGTGCCTTTTCAAGGTTTCATATCATTCTCACCGATAGGCAATTTATTATAATGTATTTAGGCTGCATTCGAAAATGCTCTGTCTCTAGATACATAATTGAGAAATGATCTTGTATTTTGTGAACTATTGACATTTTTAAAGATATAAGCTCACCCTGGCATTACACTCATTAAGACCTTTCATTTGAGTACCCACATCAATTTTCATATATTTATATATATTATATATATGTATATATGAAAAATATATGAAAATGCATGTGGGTACTCAAATGAAAGCTCTTGATGAATGTAACATCGGGGTGAGCTTATTTCTTTAAAAAGGTCAATAGTTAAGAAAATACAGTGCAATTTAACGAATATCTTGTGAACTATTGATATTTTTAAAGATATAAGCTCACCCCGATATTACACTCATCGAGATCTTTTCTTTGAGTACCCACATCGATTTTTCATATATTTTATATATTTATATATATTATATATGAAAAATATATCAAAAATGCATGTGGGTACTCAAATGAAAGCTTTTGATGAGTGTAACATCGGGGTGAGCTTATATCTTTAAAAACGTCAATATTTAAGAAAGTACAGTGCAATTTAATAAAATTAATTATTTAATAAAGCAAAATTTTATTTATTTATAGTTCACAAGTCACGGCAGCTACATAGTGACTGCAAGGTTGCTAATAATTAATCAACCATTTAATTAATAATTAATTTAATTATATATTTATGGGCTATAATAATAATAATAATAATAATTATACAATATTTTTTTTATTTAGACTGTACACAGAGAATGCATACGATGAATTTATTGAATCAAACCCTCCACAAATGCAACGCTCAGATTTAGCACCAGCGATTCTGCAGCTCAAAGCACTGGGAATTGATAATGTTTTGAGGTTTAATTTTCCAAGTGTACCGCCGAGTAAAAGCTTAGTCGCTGGATTGGAATTACTTTACGCTTTAGGTGCTATTGATAAGGATGGTAGTCTAACGAAACCATTGGGGTTGACAATGGCAGAAATGCCACTAGAGCCAGTGTTTGCTAAATGCTTATATGCTTCAGGTAAAAAATTCTTACACTTTCTATCAATCGAACAAATATTATTTGTTGTAAAAAAAGTAAAGAGCCAATCATAAATAAACGAATTAATTTTTTATTGCAGGAGAAATGGGGTGCTCTGATGAAATATCAACAATCCTATCAATGTTTCAAGTACAAAATATACTAATAAGACCGTCTAGTGGTCAAGCATCTATAAGAGCACGTATCGCCCACCGTAAATTCGAAGTTGAAGAAGGTGATCTTATCACAATGTTAAATATTTATACTGCGTATGAGAAGAATAAGTCAGCAAGCTGGTGTCAAAAATATTTTTTAAATTTCAAAGGACTGAAACGTGCCACAGAAATACGGTCAAAAATGCGCATTATGATGAAGAATTTAAATATACCACTTAGATCTAGTAATGGTAACGTAAATTTGATTATTTTATTTTTTTTTAATGTGTCTTTAAAGATAACTAAAATTAAAGTGTTATATACCGATTATTTATAGGTGATTTACAATTAATACTTCGATGTCTTACCGCTGGTTTATTTCCCAATGCTGCATTTTTACATTACACTGGTGTCTATAAAACAGTTCGAGGTGACAGAGATTTATATATACATCCTAATAGTTGTTTATACACAGTTCAACAACCGCAATGGTATAAATTATTTTATTAGTATTTATATTAAACACTAATTTTATAAAATTGAGAACTTGATTATTAAAGAATTGTTTTTTTTTTTTTCTAGGGTACTATTTTGTGAGATATTACAAACTACAAAATTATATATGAGAGAATTGACTGTAATTAAATCTGAGTGGCTATTAGAATTAGCTCCGCATTTTTACGAAAGAACTGCTTTGAATTCTGTATAAAGTATTTATTTTATAAAATTGTAAAAATTTATTTTGTAATAAAAATCATAGTTATAAAGTATTTCGAGGATATCAGAAATTTTATTTATAGTATCTGTAAATTATTTTAGTTAACTTTGCAACAATAATTTTTTATATTTATTCAATGACACAGAAAATAGCAGATAGTTCAAAATTATTTAATTTTTCTTGAAAAATTAACTAGAATAAAAAAATTATTTTAAAAATTTGCATTTTTTATTTTGTTGAATTTCTCCATCCCAATTTTTTTTTTTAATTTTTATTACCATAATTTATTTGTCCCAAGTTCTTAAAAGTAATAAATATCTTCTAAATTAATTTTCACGCTGTTTTCAGTATCATGTTTTTTAAAAAAATTTACTTGCCATTATTCGTTAAGAAATTTTAACAATTAGGCTTATATTTGACTTCCAATTATTTAATAAATATAAAATTAATTTTGAATAATTTTTTTTTGTCCAACCAATCAAAGAAAAATGTAGTGGCAGGAATATTCAAACTTTCAAAGTTACAAACTACTTTACAAATACATGATTATTTAGTAATAAATTACAAAAATATCGAATATCATTTTCTTTATTTATTATCAGTATCATAATTGCAATTCGCATTTTTACTCAAATAAAAAGTATTTATTATATCAAAAATATCATAAAGTTTTCTGTTAACATAAAATCACATTTAATTAATTAAGTATTTTTAAAATGATAAAGAATAACTACAATAACGTAAAATCTAAGACAAATTTCTAATTACAACATATATTTTCTAAATTTGTAATCTAGATTATTAACCCATATAGATAAATTATTTAGAAAAATAATTTTTATCTATTTTTAACTTACGATATAAATTATTTTTTTATTTGCGAATCACAAGTCTGACTAACTCTTGACTACCTTTTTGGCAGGCATTTAATACATCTTGGCTATCTCCGTTGCGCTGATACCAACGTAAAAATGTATTTAATCCACTCATAGCCTCTATAAACGTAGGACAATTATCTATAATGGAATCATCAAACGTATAATTTTGATCGTTATAAGAGATCTCATCATCAAGCTCTTCTTCTTCTTGATTCTCAGCAATACACCGGTTAGCCAAAATATCATTGTTTGCCAGAGGTTGCCATCCGTTATCATGACAATCAATCTGGAGCCAATTGTCAACTTCAGCAGGAGTATACATTTTGAAATCTTTGATTCGTTTCATAATAGCGTAGAAGGCTTCATTATTAGGCAAAGTAACCGGCGCTGTTTCTGCATTATTATCAGCAGTCAGTGGAATTAGATTTTTCCAACAATATCTAATATCACTGCTTGTCACTTCATCCCATGCAAGGGCACATAAATGAAATGCATCTAGTAGATCAAATGATTGGAAAAAATCTTTATTTTCAGCATTACTTTTTTCGTGAAAAATAATTTTTTCCATTAAATCATTACGGTAGCACCTTTTGAATTTTTCAATGATGCCTTGTTCTAAAGGCTGGATCAGAGATGTAGTATTTGCAGGTAAAAAAATAACCGTACATGATTTACATAACTCATTGAGCTCTTCAGCAGGTGGGTGGCAAGCCGCATTGTCCATAATTAAAACAATTTTCGTCTCAGGGTTATTATCTATATCGTGTTTTTTTTTTATTTCTGACAGAAAAATTTCGGTGTACCATGTCTTCATAATTTCACAGGTCATCCATGAATTTTCTTGATGTGTATAATGAACAGGTACATTCTTGATACCTCTTAAGCAGCGCGGTTGTGCTGATTTCCCAATAGCAAACAAAGGAATTTTGTGCGTGCCAGAAGAATTTGTACATGCCATCACAGTTACTCGATTCTTTGGTTTCTTAAATCTTTCAGCTTTCTTTTTTTTTCTTTGAACCAACGTTCTACTTGGCATTATTTTCCAATAAAGTCCAGTTTCATCACAATTATAAATACAGTCAAGACTTATACCTGTTATTGTCCTAAAATTATTAAATTTTTCTTTAAAATCTTCACTACCTTCTATATCTGCCGATAATTTTTCGCCATTAGCATTTTTATTTTTCAATCCGTATCTCTTCTTAAACTTGGCAAGCCACCCGTCACTTGCTGTAAAATTCTCATTGCCATTTAAAAGTTTATTATACAATAAAGCTTGCTTTCGAATAAAACTACCTGACACCGGTCGACCCATGCTTCTTTGCTGACTAAGCCATTTCATTAATTTTTGATCCAATATATTCTCTTCTTGTTTCTTATAACGTTTCTTATCAGTATTGCCGTTACAGGATTTCAAAATTTCCTGTGTCTGAAGAATACTAGTTTCATTTTTTTTAATCCACGATACTGCTTGTTTGGAAATTTTATACTCCTCAGCTAATGATTGAGGAGTTTCTCCATCCTTCAATCTCTGTATAATATTGCAGCGCTGCTCTACAGATAAAATATTTCTTTTCGTCTGTAAATAAAAAATTTTCAGATTAGACATTAAGTAATAAAAATAATATACTTAATTTTTATGAAATTAAAGTTGGCAGTCACTTGACCATTTGTTTATTTTTTTTAACAAACAAATTTGTTCCAAAGAATTATTTTTAAAAAATTGCATTTTTTATTTTTTAAAATTTCTACATGTCAATTTTTTTTCCTAATTTTTTTTTGCAATAAACTATTTTTTAAAAAAATTTTTAAAATTATCAAAAATCTGCTAAATTAATTTTCATTAATTTTTTCAATCTTCAGATTAATTAAAAATCTAAAATAAATCCAACATTGGAGGACAGAGTAAAAATAAGCATGTTAGTAATGACATTGAAGTTGACAGACATTATAAATTTTTTTAGAATTTTATAGCAATTAAATTATAAAAAAAATTAATTTAAAAATTTTACATGTGAAAATTAATATAAATTACAAGTGAAAATTTTTAGAAGAATTTTTTTATTATAATTGATTTTTAAAAAAAAAATTTTTAAATTGACACCTGACGACTAACTTCAGTATTATTGTTATTAATAAACATTAAGGTGTTGTTAATTAAATGAATTTATTTATAGCTATTAATAAATTTTTAATAGTTTAACTTGCCTTTAAATATTCTAAATCACTAGACATTTTATATTTTAGCATCACTTATAATTTTATTAATATGCTAAATAATTATTTGACACATAGAAAGTGAGGGTTAGGTACGGGCTATTGTTGACATATATTTTTTCTGAACACTGCGCCGCATGAGACCGCACCGACTTATGACACTGAAGTTAGCAGACGTCTAAAAATTTTTGATTTTTTTTATTAATTAAATTACAGCTAAAAAAATATTTATAAAAAATTACACTTATAGTTTTTCAAGTTTTTTACATGTGACAATTTTTTTTTAATTGTTTAATTGAAATTTTTTCAACAAAAAATTTTTAAAAATTTTTAAATTTCGGCAAACTTTAATTTCATACAGACTTGCGTAGACGAGACTTGAGAGTAGGGAGCATCGAATGTTTTAGAAACCACGTTCAGGCCCAAGAGAAAAAGCGAGACAGAAGATAGTGTGAGTACTAGGAGGTTAAAAAAAGAAATTTGATTGTCCGCGTTGAAAATTAAATTTCCAAATATGGCTAGTGATAAAAAACCCGGAAAATCATTGCCAAAAGGCTCAAAAAGTAATGAAGAAATTCTTGCTGGATTTCAAACCCTTCGCAATGATCAAAGAATGATGGCTACTAAATTATCCGAAATGGAAATGGAATTAAATGAACACAAGTATGAAAACAGTAACCTAACCTATTATTTTATTTTATTTACTCTAAAAAATTTCAATGTTAAGCGTAATTTTTATTTTTTTTTTTTTTAATTATTGTTTTATTAAAAGTTGTTTTAATTTTCAGGATTGTCATTGATACATTGAAGAATGTTGATCCTAAAAGAAAGTGTTATAGGATGGTTGGTGGAATTTTATGCGAGCAAGTTGTCGGAGAAGTATTACCTGGGCTTGTTACTAATAAAGAAAGGGTAATTTTATTGATTAATGATTTTATTATTTAATTAGAATTTTTTTAAATAAATCAAAGTAGTTTTCGTTAAAAAATTTTGTTTTTTTTTTATTAAAATTTTAATTTTGATTTCTAAAAAAAGTAGTAAAATTTTTGTTTAAAAAATTTATCTAGTGTAATTTTAAATAATAAATAACTCATTTATTATTTTTAATATTATAGTAAATGTTGATTATTATTTTATGTTATTATTATGAAGTTCAATTTAGCAGATATTTGATCATTTTAATAATTTTTGTAACAAATAAATTATGAAAAAAAAAAAAATTGACACGTAGAAATTTAAAAAGATAAAAAATCCAATTTTTTAAAAATAAATTTTCTGTACAAATTTGTTTGTTAAAAAAAATTAAAAATGAACAAGTGACTCCTAAATTTAAAGTTATGTTGCTATTAATGTTTTGTTGTGTTACAGTTGATAAAAGTCATTGAGACGCTGAATGAACAGTTGGAGAAAAAAGGTAAAGAGATAAACGATTACAAAGAGAAAAATAATATAAGGATACGAGGATTAGATGAACTCCAACAGACGGAAGAAGAATCTAAAGAACCTAAAAGAAATGCCCTCGTAGTTAATCCTATTGAAACTTAATTAAAATTGTATAATTTTTTGAATTCTTTCATCATTTAAACCATTTGTATTTTTAAACATCTGCCAGGTTATTAATTTCAAACTAAGTCTGATTAATTTTTCAATTCTCAGTTCATAACTCTTTCATATTAATATACATCATATTAATTTGACTGTAAAAAGACAAAAGCAATAAAATTAATTTAACGTTTTAGTTCATTTAGTATTTTTTTTTTTTAAAAACAGACAAGTTAAATATTTTTTTATTACTGCTTTGAAATATTTAGATTGCAAATAAATTATCTGTATAATGAAAACAATAAATTATATAAATTTTTAATACATTAAATTTATCTGGTATTATTGTAAATTATTTATATCTTATTTTAAAATGTAATTAGAATAATTTATCATTTAATATTTCTTGCTTAATATTTTATTATTTAAATTGAAATTGAAAATTTTTAGCACATTGAAATAATATTTTCATATTCAGCAGAATGCATAGCCGAATACATAAAAATACTATCACGTCCTAATTCTGCGAATACTAAAACAATACCTATCGCATACTCGTGGAGGGGACGCCACAACTGATTGTAGAAACTTTGCATTGTTTGAGAAAATTTCAAAGAAGTATTAATCATTCAGATTTACAATACTAGTTTCTGATCTTACTGAAATAGCCGACACAGGTTTTAATTAAAGATTCAAATTGATAATTTTAGTAAAATTGAATTATATTTTACAGCGAATATTTTAATATAATTTACTCATTACTCTTAAAGTGAAAAAAATGAATATAGATGATATAATTATTGCAAGTTTCATATTACTAATATTATTCGTATTCTGGTTGAAGTATAAGCATTTTATTGTGTATAATATACTTATGCTGATTTTTGAAATAGTAAGTTGAAATATTTAAAATAATCTGACATTTTTTATTTTTCCATAAATAATTGTTGCAAAAAAAATGAAACTAAAATTTCACATGTAAAAGGTACTAATTTACTTGTTAAATAAGCTAAAAAAAGATTAGACGTTTCCTCATTTCAGAATTATATATTTTATTATTTATTATTAATTATCTTTTTATCACAATGGACCATATATTAAAAAAGTTTTTTCACCACAGATAGTTGCCATTATTGTGACATGTTTTGTGATTATAATTTATGAACCAGCATTTGAGAATTATGACAGATGTTTTCAAAGAATGAATATAAACTTTGGATTTTTCTTGTGTTTATTTATACCAATTTTAATATTTCATAACGATCCAGAAAATAATAGCGATCAAGAATTTAATTCTTTAAAGGTATTTATCTCACATCATTTTATTTCAAAATAATAGCACACTTCATTAACTAACATCGTAAATTGCAATGTACTATCTCAATCTGAAACATTTTATTAATTTTTATTAAATAAGTATTTGAAATTTATTTATTTTTCAAATAAAATTTTTTTTTCTTACTACAGTTCAGGATTTTACTCTGGGCAGGATTTTTTTCTTCTTTTTACGTTTTTCCCATTGATGAAGAATGTTTCGATACAGCAATATATTTTGCACAACAAGGATTTAAGATTTTCCAGGCATTAAGGATATTTTTTTTTAATTTATTATTAATATATGGCTTTCTTGAGGTAATATGTACAAACTTTACTGAAATTAAAAAAAAATATCTAATTAGATTATTCACTCATTAAAAAACATGCAGTTATTTACTATATTTTTTTTTTAACTGTAGGGTTCTGTTTCTGTCTTTTTTATGGCAGATATCTTACATGCAAAAAAAAGCTTTTCACTGACTCTTATTGAGATTACTTCAGTGGTAATAATAATAATGTATTTTTTTGACTTGTACGAACGTATGACTGAAATATTATATCACTGGATCCTGATGATTGGTAATTTTATTTATTTATGCTAAAATTATCCGTGTAATTTTATAATATTTTATTAATTATATTATTTCTTATAGTTACAGAGTGTTTTTTTCTCTCGTCTATCGACAAGGTGATAACTACTCTTAGAAATTCATTTTTATAAACACCATGATTAAGCATGAACTTTTTTTAAGCAATTTTGATGATTTGTTTTAATTGCTGTAATATATGTTGTATACTAAGGAAGTATTTTCAACATTACTCTTCTTAAGAAGTTTAAGTATATCTAATTAAAATATTTTGATACAAATTCTTTATAAAAATTATTTTTTATATGCTATATGATTGGAGAGGAAATGTAATTGTTAATTAATAAAATTAAAACAATAACTTATCAAAAATATATTCTAATAACTGTAGAACATTGATATTTATTGTCCTAGTATAATTTTTCTCATGACGTTAAAATCAGTAGACATCTGACAATTTTTTAAAATTCGCACTTGCGTAATTTTTTTTTTAAATTCTACATATGACATAAAGTTAGCTGTCACTTGACCAATTTTTAATTTTATGAAACAAATAAATAAATTCTAAAAAATTATTTTCAAAAAATTACATTTTTAATTTTTTTAAATTTCTATATGTCCATTTTTTTAAAAATTTTTTTTTGCAGTAATTTATTTCCATAAAAAATTATAAAAATTTCTACGTTTGAAATTTGTTTACTAAATTTTATTTATAATATTTTAATTTTTATAAAAATCTAAAAAATTTAAAGATGTTTATTGATTTCAGTATTATTTTTTATTCACGTCCACTCAATTTCTAAATTCAAATTTGCCGCCAAATAGTTGTCATCTAAAGAGCCGTTTCTATTGGACAAAAATAAATTACCCAGAAAAATGAATCGTATTTTCATTGGCTATTTCTCCAGAGACTAAAATCAGCTGACCAATAGAATAATATTTATATCTCTTTGTTCATGCGTATAGAGTGAAAAATTTAACACCGTTGCGCATAATCGTAACGGTCGTACACAAACAAGTCGAGACAGGCACGCAGCTTGCATTGACCAGAACATCGCAACGCAAAATAACACACACAGTATACAGTTTACATAAACTAAATATCTTCTGGCGGGAACGGAAAGCAGTTGACAATCGCGTTGGTACAAAATGAATAACGTTGTCTATAACAAATGATAGTTTTTGTTTTATAAACAACTGAGTTGTAAGAAACGCGCTAATGTGTCCATATTTGTGCTCGCAATTTACAACGATCAAAACCATCTTTTTTCGTCGTCTCAATTGTGATTATTTCTAACCTCGCTTTCGAGGTGTTGTGAAACATTTTCGTTTAAATAAATTTTAATTATTGTCAGTAATTGATAATTTAATTACTAAAATGGGTACTCAAGTTCACACACGCGTCAAGCGAAAAATTTGCGACCCAGGTGATGCTCAAGATCCAAAAAGGGCTCGCGGGAACTCTGAGGGAGATTTTGAACCTGTTAAGGAAACTGTAAGTCATTTATTTTATTTATTGAATTTTTTAAAATTTATTTTATCAATTATTTATTGAACGTAGCAATTGATTCACTTACGCTTTAGATTATCGCTTTTTTTTCTTTTGATAATAAATAGTTATCGCGATTTTCATTTTTACTATCACTAATTTTTTAATTGATATTTTATTATTTTTGCTGCTCGTTTTAATTACAAATAGTTTTTTTTAATTCTTTAAAAAAACTTAAGTATCAAAATAAAGTTAGCCGATATTTAAAAAATTTTATAATTTTTTATATTAAAGAATTATTAGGAAAAAAAGCAAAAAAAAAATTTTTCATTTGTTAAAAACTTAAAAAACTATAAGTGCAATTTTTTAAAAATATTTTTAATTATAATTTAATAAATTAAGCAAAATAAAAAAATCAAAAATGTCGGCTAACTTTATTATTATCATAATAATGCTGATAATAATAATAATGATATAATTTTTTCTCATACTAAAGTTCCGATCTTCATTCATTTTTTTTTTTCTCACCAACAATGATTATTATTATTTTTTTATTAGTTTTTATCTTAAACTGAGATTAAAAATTTTTTTTTGTTTTATTTTCTATTTTCATATAAATAAATAAATAAATATTTATAAGATGGTATGATTGACATTTCATCATTTTTTTTTCTAAAACAAATGAATTACTATAACAATAACAAAAAATTTGAATACCGATTATTTTCTTCGAATGTTAATTTTTCAAACATTTATTTTAAATTAATAATTAAATTATTACATATATTTCTATAAATTTTCAAGCTCGAGTAATTTTTTAGAATTTATACCAAATTATTAAACATTTTTACTAAAGTATAAAATCTCAAATTTACAGAGAACAGCTGGGAAAATTCTAAGCATGCATCTGCGTAACATAATGTGCCATGAATCGCTGAAGGTCGATTTTAATCCCAACGTCAACTTTATTATCGGAAAAAATGGAAGCGGCAAAAGTGCTATCATATCTGCGATAGCTATTGTATTTGGTGCACGTGCTAATGTCACACAGCGAGCTAATTCATTGAATAGTAAGTTTTTTTTTAGATAAAACATAATTTTACCACAGTATCTGTTTGGATTTCAATCTGATTAGTTCTTATGACTAAGATAAAAGACCCAGTTATTGACACTTGCAATTTTATTTTAATTTAAAAAAAAAATCAAATCAATTCTAATAAATTAATAAATATATTTGCTGAGTTTTAAATTTTAAGATATTTTTTTGAGAATATTTTATTTTTTTTAATTGAAATAAAATTGGAAGCATCAAACAACTAGACCAGTGTCAATAACTGGGTTCTTTACTTTAGAAACATTTTTTCTCGAAAACCCAAGTACAGCAAGATCCTTTATGTTGACTAAACATTTTTCTCATTTCATTCATTCTGTACCAGTGCATCTGGTAATTTTATATTTTACATTTTTTTTATGAGGGATACAAGGATCGTTTTATGACCTTATTCAACAAGGCCCTCATTGACCTGCCTAGTTAAAATGCTTGATCCTGTTCTATAAAAATTTAGTAAAATCGGTGGGAAAATTTTTTCTTACACAGTAAAAAATTTTGCGTCAAAAAATTTAGTGTTAAAAATTTATATGTTTAACATTTAACACTTTTTTGTATTGATTTAACAGAGTAAATGTTAAATTTACACAAAAATGTTAAATATTTAACTCAACAATTTTTAACTTTAAGTTTTTTGATGCAATCACGTAAAATTTTTTACTGTGTAGAATTCCAAATGAATAATATCAGTAAAAAAAATTCTGAATGAAAAAATAATTTTTTTATTTGTAAAAAATATTTAATTAATTCCGTTATAAGTCGTTTTACAAATTTTTAATTGTACGTTAACATCAAAATAATTTTTTTTCAAATTTGAGTGCTTAAATTTTTATTTAATTTTGAAAAAAATTACTTAACTTTATCAGTCAGTTATTTAATATAAAAAAAAAAAATTCCTAAAATAATTTAGACATAATAATTAATTTACGCTTGATTATATTCGTCAACTAATTATTGTTAAATAATTTCAGAGTTGATCAGAGATCATTGCGACAGAGCAAGCATCGAAATCGTAGTATCCAACGTTGGACCATTGGCGTTCAAACCTGAGTTATATGGTGATTCAATAAAAATAACTCGTATTATTGGCCAGGGAGCAAAATACACAATGGCTAGTTCTCGCGGCAAAGTTATATCAAAAAACAAGATTGAATTGGAACGAATGAAAACTTGTATGAATATACAAATAGAGAACCCGATTTCCGTCTTGAATCAGAGCAAGTCATCTAATTTTCTAATGACTGCTAATGAGGGTGATCTATACGAATTGTTTATGCAGTCAACTCAACTATCAATCATCAATGATAATTACAAATCAGCCGTATTGGAGTGTCAGGAGACGAGTCGCATTCTTGAAGATACGTCAAAACAATTAAACGTCGAGCGAAAAGAGATTGAAGCCCTGGAAAATAATTTGCGCAGATTAGCTGCGTTGGATAATACACGCGCAGAATACGATGGTGTCCAGGTGGAATTAAAATGGGCTTTAGCGATAATGGAGGAGGATAATTTAGAGATGCATGAGAACCGGGTTAAGACGTATCAAGAAAAAGTAAGACAATTTGAAAATGTTCATCAGGACAGTGGAAACAAGATTCAGAATATAAATACTGAGTTGGAAAATTTAAACGCTAGACTCGATGAAATTGAATTAGAATCCCAGACATCACGTGAAGCCTATGTAAAAGCTAAAGCTGGTTATCAAAACAAGAAAGAAGAAGTCGGGGGCAAGGACCGAGAGATTAAACAGTGCTTGAAGCAGATTCAAAAGTACAAAGAAGATATTTCCACTTACATCAACGAAATTGAACGTTTAGAAGGCGGTAGCAGTCAAGCAGAGATGAAACGAAATGAGCAAAGACAAAAAGCTGCTCAGTTGAAAGAAAAGTTTGCTGAAATTGAAGCTCTGTTGAATACCACCAAAACAGATTTGTCCCATTTAGAAACTACCAAAGTGCAATACGAGAAGGAAGATCACTTGGCTAAGATGGACGCTGATAAAAAGGCGAGCGAGTGCTCGCGTGTCGCAGCACAATTGCAAAATTTCCAGAAATCCGGCGGCACTAACAATGTCTTCGGCAAGAATATGGAACGTTTGAAGCGCCGTGTTGATGAAGAACACAACCGAGGACGATTTTTGGAAAAACCAATTGGCCCGATTGGTGAATTTATTAAAGTAAAAGACCCATCGTGGATTCCAGCTATTGAGAATGTTCTTGCGCCATTAAATGCTTTTTGTGCTGACAATGGCCAAGATGCAAAATTACTGGGGAACATTATTCAAGAAGTTTACGGCAAAGAATCTAAGCCTACTATATATTGCAGCAAATTCCATAATCGTGTCCACGACGTCAGCAGAAAATGTGTTCGTGATCAAAATTACTCGAATTTATTCGACATAATGGAGATTTCTAACACTGTTGTTGCGAACTGCATTATTGATCAGAAAGAGCCAGAGTGTCTGCTGTTGATACCAACCAGTGAAGCGGCTAAAGAATTGCTCTCACATGCAAGAAATGTCCCGCGTAATTGCAAGCGTGCTACTACCAAAAAAGGTGATATGTTTTTTCCGGATCCTATGTATCGTACTTATGGTGGAAAAGTTGGCAAGGCTAACTATCTTGAGGTATCAACTACTGAAGTTATACAGAGATTGAAAGAGGAATACGTTACCGCGGAAGAAGAAAGAAAAATTGCTTATAATGATTACAAGGTTAAGCACGATCAGCTGTTGGTTAATATTAAGTCTTGTTCTGAGTTGCAGGCGAAAATAAAAGATCTGAGCATTTTTAAGGAACGAGTTAGACGGCAGATTGCTGATTTGGAAGAAGCGCTTCAGGAAGATTTGAATGACAATTGCGCGGTATTCAAGGCTGATAAGCTTAAATTGGAAGCTCTGTTGAAAGGCAAAGAAAATGAGCATGCAAAATTGTTGGAGGAAAAAGCTCAGATTGAGAATCAGTTGAAGGAACTTGCGGTTGAGTTGAAGGCTTGTCAAAAAAATACTGCGACTAGAGGTGACAAAGTTGCGGAGGTAAACGAAAAAATTCAAAAATTACAGGCTGAAAGAGCTCAGATCAACAGTAGCTTCAATGGTGTCAAGAAAAGAATTGAAAGTACGCGCCAGGAGTTGGATACTGCTCTTGAAGAGTGTAACAAACAGCGACAGAGAACGTCAAATGCTGTTAATGCTGCGCAGAGAGTTGGCGAGCGAGTTCAGACTAGAAGATCACCAACACAGCTTCAAAGATTGATCCAGGTTCTTGGGACGGAAATTGAGAGGGTACAACATGATGTTGGCTCTAAAGAAAATCTTGAAAATTTGCTGGATCTTAAGCAAAAGAAAAGTGCAGACATTATTGAGCTGCACAATGGCTTGCAGAAAGTTAACAAGCAGCATCAGCGTAGAGTTGAACAACGGAAAGAAGAGTTTCAGAAAATGAAAAAATTTATGGCGCGTAAAGTTAAAGAGGAGTTCTTGAATATAATCCGCCTTAGGAACTTTGATGGTTCTCTTATTGTTGATTATAAAAATAAAAAAGTTAAGATTGAAGTTATTCCGTCTACTACGGACAAGCAATCTTCTAATGCCGTACACACGTTGTCTGGAGGTGAAAGATCGTACTCAACAGCCGCGTTTGTCCTTGCACTCTGGGAGTGTACCACTTTGCCATTCTACTTTCTTGATGAAATTGACATTTTTATGGTGATTATTATTTTTATACTATAAAGAATTTTTTTTTATTTGAATTATTATTTATGATAAATTATAAAAATGTTTTTTTTTTTTTTTTTAATTGTTTTTTAGGACAAAGTGAACAGGAAAACAGTTTATGACTTGTTGCTGCATCACGCTAGTATTCACCCAGAACGACAGTTCGGCTTCCTCACTCCTCTTGATGCTTCTATCTTCAAAGGCAGTGTCACTGTTAAGATTTTGAGGTAAATTTTTATTAAATAATTTCAGAGAATATAAAATAATATTAAATAATTAGTCAAGAATATAATAAGTATTTAAGCTGCATTCGAAAATGATCTATCTCTAGACACATAATTAAGAAATGACCTTTTATTCTGAGAAATATTGACATTTTTAAAGACATAAGCTCATCCTGGTGTTACACTTATCAAGACCTTTCATTTGAGTACCCACATCAATTTTTCATATATTTATATATATTATATATATGTATATATGAAAAATATATCAAAATGCATGTGGGTACTCAAATGAAAGCTCTTGATGAGTGTAACATCGAGATGAGCTTATATTTTTAAAAACGTCAATATTTAAGAAATGACCCCGTATCTTGTGAACTATTGAGATTTTTGAAGATCTAAGCTCACTCTGACATTACACTCATCGAGATCTTTCATTTGAGTACCCACATGCATTTTGATATATTTTTCATATATTTATATATATTATATATACATGTATATATGAAAAATATGTCAAAATGTATGTGGGTACTCAAATGAAAGCTCTTGATGAGTGTAACATCAAGATGAGCTTTTATCTTAAAACACGTTAATAGTTAAAAAAGTACAGTGAAATTTAACGAAAGTCATTATTTAATAAAGCAAGGTTGCTAGTTTAATATAAAAGAATATTAAAAAATTAGTCAAGAATATAAAATAAAATATTTAAAAAATAGTAATGGTCTTTTATGATATCCAACTTAAAAATTTTTTTCATTTATAGAGATTTATTAGTACAATATTTTTTTGAAAAGACAATTGTAAATATTATTAATAATTGATTCAATTATAAATTGTTATTGATTTATAATTAATTTATTTTTCAGACTTGCTCCACCAAACCGTGGCACACAATCGCAATCACAAGCGTAACCACCAACTCAACAGAATCAAGAAGAAGATGAAGAAGATTAGTCAATGTAGTATTACAACTTAATTTCGTGTGTCCATTCCGTAAACCTTTTATGTTTTATTTATTTTATTTCTCAAGTTAAATTTCCGTTTTTTTTCGTTTCGTTTTTAGTTAAAAAAACATAATTATCTATTTAATGCGTTGACCACTATTGGTATGCCTTAAATGCCTTAACTCATTAAAAATCGCACAAAGATATTTAATAGTTATTAATAAGATTTATCGATAGTTTAATTTTACATTTAACCATATTCATAATTATTATTTATTTAATGTTTTTTTTATTTATCAAAGTTTAAAACCAGATTGATAACTATTTTTCTATATGTTCATAAGACTATAGAAATATTTAAAGTAATAAGATGATATATTTTGGATAATAATACGACTGAGATCTAGATGCTTGAACAAATTATTAAAATAACATTGATAGTTGATTGATAACGTTTAAAAAAAGATTTAAAATTATTGGTATAATTATTTAAAAATTTAAAAAATCATTACATATAACTATATTTAATTAATAATTATTCTATAAAAAAAACCAAAAATGTTTCTTGATTAAAAAAGTTTTATCGTTTGTAATAAAAAAAATTGAAATAAAAAAAAAAAAAGATTTAAAATGATTAAAAAAATGCAAAGGTAGGTATTTTAATGACCTCCCAATCGGATAATGAGACTTGACATTCACTTTTGCTGCGGAAGCACAGCAAGTGGTTCAAGGTTCTTCTTATATTAGTGCGAACGTCGATTGGACCATGTAATTTGTATAATGACATAACAGCCTTAGTGTTATACTCAGGCGTGGTCGTAATATCTTGTCCGTACAGAGAAAGTAGTGCATGGTGTATTGGATGACTTGTCCTTACTTCTTGAAGCTACACTGATAAAAAAATTTGTTTGTAGTTAGAAATATTTGTTAATTATTAACAAATTATTTATTAGAGACCACTTTTTAGTCATTAAAAAATCAGCTGCTCAATTTTAAAACAGTAACTGCAAAATTTTTATATTTGATTTTTTTTTTATTATTTTTAGACCTTAATTTTAAGTAATTTTTCTTAAAAATATTTATAATCAAGTATTTTCTATTTATAAATCAAATTTCTTATCAATTTGGTGTGCAAACTTTTTTTTTAATAAAAAAAATTGTCAATTATTGTGTTTTGAAATTGGGCAGCTGAAACATTTCTCATTATTTAAAAAGGTTTATTAATATTTAATAAATGAATATCAGATTTATTAAATATAAACAAATCATTTTAAATACTAAGAAAAATTTGTTTAATACTAAAAAATGGTCTTTAATAAATAATTTTATTAGAGTACCAAAGATTTGACGATCACAAGGATTAAATAAAAGGACATATCGATGGTTTAATTAGCAATTGGTCTAACTCTAATTATAAATTATAAATTATTTGAATGTGAGTTATGAATTATTTAAATTATAAATTATTTTAATAATTATAAATTATTTGAATGATCCAATTAAAAATACTATACCTTTCTTAGATATTAAATTATTTTTAAAAGTGATAATAAATTTTGAACTAATTGTTTTTTTGTACAAATGAAAGATTTTCTAAAGTAAAGTTAAACAATTTGCTGATTAAAATGTCGATATGAGTAATAAAAAAATTAGACAAATTTAGGTATAAATATTTATTCGAATTTAATATCAAGTCTTTATATTACAAAAGTAATGACATTCATTTATAATTATTTTAATTAGTGGTGGTAGAGAGCAGCAGGGGCAGAGTACGTGGTGTAGGCAGCTGGTGCGTGGTAGGCCAGAGGAGCAGCAACTTTGGCGTAGGCTGCAGGTGCGGCGTAGTGGGTAGCGTATGTAGCTGGTGCAGCGTAGTGAGCGGCGTATGCAGCGGGGGCGGCGTAAGAAACTGGGGCAGCTACTTTAGCGATGGCTGGGTTGGCGTAGTGGGTGGTGTAGGCAAGGGGTTGAGAGTAGTGAGTAGTGTAGGCTGCAGGTGCTGAGTATGCGGCGACTTTGGCGACGGGGTGGGTGGCGATGGCAGCAGGAGCGGCGTAGGCGACTGGTGCAGCGAGCTTAGCAACTGCTGGTGTGGCGTAGTGGGTGGTGTAGGCTGCGGGTGCAGCGTAGTGGGTGGCGTATGCAGCGGGTGCAGCGTATGCGACTGGAGCGGCTTTGACAGCAAGGGCAGCTGGTGCTACGGCTTTCACGGCAACTTGAGCGGGTTCTTTGCGGACGACGGCGTTGAATCCGTTGATACCGTCTGCGGTGTAGTCGACAGTTCTGCGAGTTCCGTCAGATTCGAGGAGGCTGTAGCTGCCTTGGACTGAATCTCCGTCGCGGGACTCGTATTGGCTCTTGAAGTCGCCGGTCGTCGCATCCTGGACGTCGTAGTTGAAGTTGTATTGAGGATGAGGGTCGTCTTCAGCGTTGATGGTCTTGGCCAGAACTGGAGCCGCCGCGTAGGCCAGTGGTTGGTGAGCTGGGATGAATCCAGCGTTGGCAGCCGCCAACAGAGCGAACAGGGTTACGAACTGAAAAATTCATACAAATTATTGGTATTTTTAATTATCCATAGCTTTAGGTATTTTCTATTTTTTTTCTAATTATTGTTGGTGTTATTTTTAAAAATATTTCCTCGATGGACTTATGTATCTAATGTATGTATTTTTTGGTTTGTTTAATTTTATTTATCAAATAATTTTGGCAGCTCGAATCGGCTAACATTGAAATCACCCAAAAGGATTGGAGTTGTCAAAATAATTCGGAAAATAAAATTGCTATTACTGTTACGTTTCTTCTAAACACACATATATATTTTGTAAAGATGTTTTTGATGTTCCGAGAACCTCAAGCAACACACTTTAACCAATATACTCGTTTACTTCGATCGGTAATTTCGAATTTAAAGTTGTTAATTTTTTTCAGGCACGTCCGATCATTTTAAAATGAATTTTCCGATCTTCCTCTCGCTAGTTTCAACAACATTCAATCTAAAGACCAACACTATAAGCTCTCAATAATTCATAGCAAAGACTATTTGCAATGAGCTTGAGAAAAATAATACAACTCTAAAGATTCAGTTATTGAACTAGCGACCAGACCAAAAATGAATCGGATGTGCCTGCATAAATAATCAGATCAACTTAAATTAATGAAGATAATTATTATTAATTAATATTTGAATTTGAATAAGCAGTACCTTGAATGCCATGATACTGGTTGTTGATCTGTTGATCTGTTGATCTGAGTGTGTCGAGTGAATGATGTCTGACTGTTGGTGGATTCGGTTTATATACTATTCTCGGATGGGGCGTCAGGACACTGAATGACGCAATGAGCGAACGGTAGTCACCGGATTCGTGGCCACCAGGCTCAAGTAGAGTGTGAGTCGGGAATTGGGCAAGTAAAGGAACAGAGACCACACCCAATCGACATATCGGAGGACTGGGTTCTCTTGTGGTATCCAGTGCGTGGACCATCGTGTAAGCACCCACTAGGCCGCGGCCTTGTCCGGAGTTACCTAATTTACCTCAAGCTTTTATTTTTATGTACTTATTTTTTTAATAAAAATTATTTAAAGCATACGCCCAATCCGCAGACCACACCGCATCGTGTTCTGGTCTCATTCGTCTCGTAACATACTCGATCACTTTAATTGGCCCTATTACCGATTTCTGAAAGTTACTGTTTTAAGACATGGGGCTTTAAGTATCGCATTGCGTAGTTTAACGCTTAAATAAATAATAAATTTGTAAAAAGTTATGTCCACTTGTAAAAAATAATGCTTGTCAAAGTGACATGAGCATGTGCAGCTTTGCACATTCACTTGCATTGCAGTTCCGAAATTTCACCGAAATTCTGAATTACCAACCCACAAATCGATCAAATGCATTTGCTCGAGTACTGTTGTATTACGATTATATTTACGTGTCTCTAAATGTTTTAACATTTCACCTGATAAATATTCAATTGCTTCTGTACGCTTCAACGATACTAAAAGGAAAAATGTTTCTGCACCTTTTTTTTAGATAAGGAAAAATTTTTTATTATGTAAAAAAATATTTTATTATGAATTTTTGTTAAAAAAAAATTTACAAAGTTTTTGAATAATTTTTTTTTATTCAATTTAAATATTATTGATCTAATTTTTACAATTGTACTTTTTATAAATGTTTAAATTGTTAATTTTATAAAAATTTCAATAATTATGAATTAATATTATTAAAAGACCTAATTTTTCTTTAATTTATAATTTGTTTATAATTAATTAACTCAATTATTTATTGAACCAAATTAAAAATTAATACAAGTCACTACTAATTATCAAAATGATAATTTTTTCTTTATTTATTAATTTAAACGTAATTACCCGAGTCAAAATTTTGAATTTATCCTTTTTTGTTACATTTATTGAATAAAATTCCAAAATAAATTTTTTAGAAACTAAAAATTTATCCAATTAACGTTTTTATCAACTAAAAAATTTTCGATGAATAAAATGTCTTTTTCATAGAATACATTTTTTTATCGATGCAGTTGAAACATAACCGAGCCATTATGTTTAATCTAAATAGTAAAAAATAACTTAACATCTTATTAATATATAATTAAATTCCTGGCTTCATAATGTGTGGCGTAATTTGTATATACATGTCAATATTAATATAAATATTATGAATAATTTCTAAAAAATTTCAGTATCTTGAATATTAATCTGATGTCACAAACTTATGAATAATTATTCCAACTCAGTAAAATGTTTGTTTATTTCCTATTTGATTTAAAATTATCTACATTAAAAAAAAATTTATTTGATTCACTCACTTGAAAAAAAATTTCGAACCAAAAAAATTATTTCAAAGAGTTTTGTTAATCTATATTATTAAGCAAATAAAATATTTTGTGTCCAGGATAGTCATATGATAAAATCAGTTTATTTAGTGAAATTTAGTGTCATTGCGAAGATCTTGATTTAAATTTGTGCCTTTTCAAGGTTTCATATCATTCTCTAGATACATAATTAAGAAATGACCTTATATCTTGTGAACTATTGATATTTTTATAGATATAAGCTCATCCCGACATTACACTCATCGAGACCTTTCATTTGAGTACCCACATCAATTTTTCATATATTTATATATATTATATATGAAAAATATATAAAAATGCATGTGGGTACTCAAATGAAAGCTCTTGATGAGTGTAACATCAGGATGAGCTTATATATTTAAAAACGTCAATATTTAAGAAAGTACAATGCTATTTAACAAAAGTCATTACTTCGGTCATTAAATCGGTTTTTTTAGTGGAATTTAGTGTCATTGCAAAGATCTTGATTTGAATTTTTGCCTTTTCAAGGTTTCATATCATTCTCACCGATAGTCAATTAATTATGATAAGTATTTCGGCTGCGTTCCAATATACTCTACCTCTAGATACATAATTAAGAAATGACCTTTTATCTTTTGAAATATTGACATTTTTAAAGATATAAGCTCATCCCGATGTTACACTCATCGAGACCTTTCATTTGAGTGCCCACATGCATTTTCATATATTTTTCATATATACATATATATAATATATATAAATATATGAAAAATTGATGTGGGTACTCAAATGAAAGGTCTTGATGAGTGTAACATCGGGATGAGCTTATATCTTTAAAGACATCAATATTTAAGAAATTACAGTGCAATTTAACAAAAGTCATTATTTAATAAAGCAAAATTTTATTTATTTATAGTTCACAAGTCACGGCAGTCACATAGTGACTGCAAGGTTGCTAGTAAAATTTTTATAAAAAAAAAAACTATTTTTAGTTCATGAACTTTTCCTAGTTAAATCAGGACGATTAAATTCTTCAAAGAAATTTTCTGGGTTCAGAAATTTCTATCGTGAATAAAGTTAATTTTTTTTCAGTGATTAGCTGATTAGCGAACAAAGTAATAATTAAAAGTACTGGTAATGTCGCGCCAAAAGATAGAGATATTACTTTTATTATGTGTCTACATATATATAGAGATGTACATTTGAATATCAAGAGGATTTTTAGTGCCCTGGTAACATGCATACCGTCATGTATCAGTCGGTTAAAAAAATAGTAATCCATGTGTGAACGAGTATAGAGAACGGTCGAGTATGGAGGGTGTATGGTGTATGGTGCATGGTATATGGATCCGGAATCTGAGGTCCGTGTACAGCTCCATGGTCATCTGCATCGAGAATTCTCAGCAGCAAGGCCCTCACACTCTTACCTATACCTTTACTCTCACGCAAGCTAACAACAGATAATGGTAATTGGTTGTCTTTTTATTTTTAAAGTGTCTTAAGAATTTAACAAGGGGATTTTTGATATAACAACGCTGCTATCTTGATTCATTTCCTCAGGACAAAACACTTGGCACTAAATTAGATAATCTGTTTTAGTTTTAATCGTATTTTTTATAAAAATCCATTGTTTTCAGTTTTACGTTGAATTAGTTGTAAAAGATAAATTTATTTCTTTTTTTAAAGAAAAAATTTTTTTTTTTTATAATTATTTTCAATATTTTTTAGCAAGATTTTTAAAAATTAATATAAAGTGAATAATTTTAATTTTTTGTTACAACTATGGTACCATTATTATAAAATTTATGCCCACGAATTATTAACACAAATTTACAATTGTAATTTTGTAGTTTTTTTAACTTGAAGTGAAAAAGTAAATTACAGCGTATTGCCTTACAATAAATTAGCACCTTATAAATTTTATATTCTTCCTCATTATAGTTTCGATACTATCAAAGGCACTTTAGATGATTAAAATTTAAGTAGTATAAATTTAAAAATAAATTGATAAATATCAATTCATTTATTAACTTTAATAAACTTTATTGTAAGAAAGAGTGACAATTTAAAACACGCACTTATTATTATTTCGAATTTTATGACCAAAAACCAGGTGACCGTGAAAGAATATATCTTTGATATTAAGATTAGTATTTAAATTTATTATATCAATAGCATTCACTTTCGATCCACTTTTTTCGTTAACTAAAGTAGCTGGCCTGTTTACTCATTAATTTTTATGCTTTATTTATTATGTGTCTAATTTAGTTTATTTTTATTCAAAATATTGAAAAAAATATAGTGTTTTTTTATTTAAGGACTTTTAGATATAATAAATCATAATTTTTATAATTGACTAATTTAAAAATTTTTTTTTTCATTTTTATTTTATTTTTTTTTTATTATCTCAACAATTAAGTCGACAATTCAAAACAAATTAACTAATAACAATTCAATGAATGTATAGTACAATAAAAAGAGAAAATTATAATTACAATAACAAAAAATCATAATGAATATTAAAATTTTTTACTTATTGGAAGCAAAAATATCCCACTTTATTCCAAAAATTTAATTTCTAAAAGTTTTTAAATAAATTTTTTTTTAATTAAAATCATTTTATTTATTTCAGTTAATTATAAACTAAAAATAAATTTTAAGCCAATAATTGAAAATGATAAATTAATTTATTTTTTTATCCAATTTAAATTAATAGAAAAAATGTTTTAATTATTTAAAAAAATTAATTTTTCACTCTTGACATAATGAAAAATGATTTCTTCTCAGTATAAAATATCAGAAAATTTTTTACAAAGAGTTTTAATTAACCAACAATAAAGTAGCAATTAAAATTGATTGAACATACCTCCCAAAAATTTAATTACACTTTTAAAATAAAATTTGATTACAAAACATAAAAAAATTCCCAAGTAAAATATAAAAATATTAGTGTGCCGTAAATATTGACATGAAAGATGAATAATAATGACTTGAAAAAAAAAAAGTAAGTAAATAAATGTAGAACGATTGAATATGATGTCAACGAGAATGAATTATATTGATTTTATTTTCACTTTGACGGCATAGCAGTCTTATCGCGATATTTTAATTCTTATGAAAGTGTTCTACTTTTTAGTGCGTAATATAATATAACATACGAAATAATTATCTGATTTAAAGCATCGATGGCATAATAATTGTACAGAGGCGTTAAATAAGATTATCTGAGTACTTATTGTATTCACACTTACACATACAATATAACAATTATAAATCATAGAAGCCATTTTATATCTACATTGCATATGAACGTCTTTATCGCATCGCAAAATCATGAGTAATTTAACCGCGCATGCATTTGCATAATACCCTTATCATCTTAATACAATAACTATAATTGTCCTGAGATGCAAAATTTCTCGGCTGGACGCTGGATGGTTTTAGCAATTCATTGTTCCTTGGCGGCACTAAATCCAGTATCTCTGAGAATGAAAGCTGTGAGATATGTCCCTGGACACGTACCGCGAATTGTAGCGCGAGTGCGATGTGCGACCTTGTATTGCGGGGATACGCGTGTAGGTGAGAGATTCTATTCATTGCTGAGTATAAGGAAAAGAGTATAAGCGAGGTAGCATAATAATAAGAGCAAGAAGAAATAAAATAAACAGACGATCAAGTTCAAGAGTGAACTCTCTGTTTTCCTCTCGCTGTATTAGTGTAAGTATCAGTATCTGTATCTGTACTAATACTAATATAAGTATACTATGGGTTAAGGCATGGGGTTCTGCACTGAACCTGTCGTACCATATAATACATTATCGCTATTCCTCCCGACTCAGCCATGGAGGGGGTTGCTGGTCACTTGGATATAAAACCAGGCCCTGGTCAACCAACGACATCACACTTTGCAAGTCGATCCACTCGATTCCACTTCAGCAATGGCATTCAAGGTACTGCTTATTCAAATTCAAATATTAATTAATAATAATTATCTTCATTAATTTAAGTTGATCTGATTATTTTTGCAGGCACATCCGATTCATTTTTGGTCTGGTCGCTAGTTCAATAACTGAATCTTTAGAGTTGTATTATTTTTCTCAAGCTCATTGCAAATAGTCTTTGCTATGAATTATTGAGAGCTTATAGTGTTGGTCTTTAGATTGAATGTTGTTGAAACTAGCGAGAGGAAGATCGGAAAATTCATTTTAAAATGATCGGACGTGCCTGGAAAAAATTAACAACTTTAAATTCGAAATTACCGATCGAAGTAAACGAGTATATTGGTTAAAGTGTGTTGCTTGAGGTTCTCGGAACATCAAAAACATCTTTACGAAATATATATGTGTGTTTAGAAGAAACATAACAGTAATAGCAATTTTATTTTCCGAATTATTTTGACAACTTCAATCCTTTTGGGTGATTTCAATGTTAGCCGATTCGAGCTGCCAAAATTATTTGATAAATAAAATTAAACAAACCAAAAAATACATACATTAGATACATAAGTCCATCGAGGAAATATTTTTAAAAATAACACCAACAATAATTAGAAAAAAATATAAAATACCTAAAGCTATGGATAATTAAAAATACCAATAATTTGTATGAATTTTTCAGTTCGTAACCCTGTTCGCTCTGTTGGCGGCTGCCAACGCTGGATTCATCCCAGCTCACCAACCACTGGCCTACGCGGCGGCTCCAGTTCTGGCCAAGACCATCAACGCTGAAGACGACCCTCATCCTCAATACAGCTTCAGCTACGACGTCCAGGATGCGACGACCGGCGACTTCAAGAACCAATACGAGACCCGCGACGGAGATTCAGTCCAAGGCAGCTACAGCCTCCTCGAATCTGACGGAACTCGCAGAACTGTCGACTACACCGCAGACGATATCAACGGATTCAACGCCGTCGTCCGCAAAGAACCCGCTCAAGTTGCCTTGAAAGCCGTAGCACCAGCTGCCATTGCTGTCAAAGCCGCTCCAGTCGCATACGCTGCACCCGCTGCATACGCCAGCCACTACGCCACCCCAGCAGTTGCCAAAGTCGCTGCCCCAATCGCATACGCTCCAGCTTACGCTAAATTCGCTGCACCTTTGGCTTACCACGCACCCGCTGCTGTCGCCACTCACTACGCTCCAGCTTACGCTAAAGTTGCAGCACCCTTGGCCTACCAAGCTTACCACGCTCCAACTGCCTACGCCGCCGGTCCTCTCTACTACCACCATTAATTTCTAATTTAAATATCTGTATTATGAATTTATCTATTTATTTCTGAAAATTTTGAGTCATTAATAAAAATCTTCCTGGACTAAATAATTTGTTATATTTTTATTTTTTTTTTCCTACAAATTTATTACATTTATTAAAATTTCAAGCAAGAAAATATAATTGCAATTATCTTCTTAAAGTTGCATTGATAAAAAAAAGAATTATACTAAAATTTGTCCAATTATATTAATTGTCAAAACTCGATTAATTATTTTCATAATACATTATCGAACACGATAAAATCAATAATAAATTTCAGCGCTAAAATATAATTATACAATTATTGTATTTGTATGTAATAAGTGCGTACATTAGTAACGCTTTTTAATTTAATTTAAAATTACTGTAATTTAAAGTGCTTCAATAATAACGAGAAGCATATATAAGGGCCGTAACTTTTCAGCCGGATAATATGCATGTACGTTGCATACATTGTCGAAAACGTGGAGAACAACTGGGTCTTTGCATAAAAAATAATGTTAGTGATCATGATCACTGATCAGGATAACCGACAGCTGAAATGAACTTTAAGCATCAGCTTTAACTTAATATAAATGTCTGATGTCCTCTAGCAATTTATAAAATGGTTTTTGTGCAATCTACTTGTCGCCACGCCCGAATTTTTAAATGTTTATTTTCTGTTTGATGTTGTACGTACGTTCCTTGAGGTTATTTTTTTAGGCATACTTAAAATATTGCGATTCGGTTTCCTTTTGCCGGTGAATGTAATTGCGTCCGGCAAATTTACACCGCAGTGAGTCCGTACAACTCTTCAGGTACCAGAGTGACGGGCACATAAATTTTATCGAGTAATGGATTTTTATACACGTATTAAATCTCGAACAAAATCTGTTACGCTGACTATTGTTTTATAATGTGCTCCTGCCTACCATGGGAAATAAAAAATAATGATGATAAGATAAAAAAGTATGTTTGAATTTAACATTGAAAAATTTCTATAAAGATACTTTTGGCAATGCCCTTTTAAAAATATTCGATGCAATACAACTGCATTCGGAGATAAACGATCGAATGGTGAAGAGATTTTAAAACAATAACTGTCGCTATTTATGGTTTATGTAATATATGGTACAGAGTCTTTCAGCATTATTCGAAGAATTATTGCTTGTAAATTTACTCGGTACTTTTTTTTATATTATTAATAGTGTATTAATTTTATTTATGGCCAATAATTTTTTTATTGTTTCATAATTATTTTTTATCTAATTAATTTTGTAATATTGAAGTTAATGATTAATGTGCCGAAGAATATTTTAAATCAACTTCTTTAGTATTCAATGTCAATTTATCATAATTTACTATTCATAAATTTAATTTATATTTCAACTGAAATGTAAAAGACAATTAAACTTAAAATTTAAATAATTTTAGTTAAAAATTATGGATTTCAAATATTTGTTATACCAAAATTACAATTATAATGATAAATTTTATGAAAATTACTAGAATGATAAAGAAATAATTTTTCTTCAATAACGATATTTTTTAAAGATTAAATAAACTAATCGAATTATTTTTTTATCACTTTAAAATTAGCGTGAATTATCACTCTATAAAAATACACACCGCTGAAATCTTTACTGTTTATAAGATATATATTCTTCTCTTGAAACCGGTGGCATCAATTATGTCTGTCACCATTGTTGTTTTTACCGAGTCTTGTTCCCGTCTATCAACGGTGTAGTAAGTAGTTAAAAAAAGCCGGTGTATTTGAAAGAGTATTTTTATTTCTCAATTTTAGATGTGCGTAATTTATTTTTTTAAATTAAATAAACAAGCATTTATTTTTAATAATATAATAAAAAATTATTTAAAATAATAATTCTTAAAATTAAAAAAAAAATTTTGCAAGTCGAAATTTCAAAAAACTATAATTATAATTTTTTTTAATAATTTTCTGACTAATTAAATTTTTTAATAAAAAATAAAATTCAAAAATTGTGAAGTATATGCTGTAGTCAGTGTTAGTATAATTTGCTTTAATTATTTTTTTTTATTTCCTTGAAAAATTAAAAATTATAAAAGTTTTGATGATTAAACATTATAACGACCCTAAAAATTTAATGAAATTAATTTACAATTTTTAATTAGCGAAAACAAACTTGAGGTTAATAAAAAAAAAAGAAAAGTATCATTTATAAAAGAATTTATAGCAATAAAAATGAAATGACTTACGACCATGAAAACATATTTTAAATGTTACACACTTATATATTTAGTAAAATACTTAACTTTAAGTACATATATAATAAAGTGTAACTTGCAAGTATTTGGTTATATGTTATATCATACGGCGTAATAAATCGAGTGAGTTTAAGTTAAAAAATTGAATGTCATTCTTGGGATATTTTACCGAAGAATTTATTCTACTTTCTCGTCGATCGATGTGATAGTATAATTGGATACCAATTTAAGCGGCGAGTCTCGTGAGTTCAGAGATAGGGTTGATTGTTGGTGAGACTTAATGACTCGGACAAGAAGTGCGACCCACTTTCGCGACCCTTCTCACCACTTCTCAGGACTCAGGATGGGAGTCGGCTCAGTCTGCCCCCTTGTCTGCTGGTTAGGATCGATTGAGACGACGACATGTTTTTTCTTATTCTCGTGTTCCTTAAGCTCTCACGATCGCCCCTCGACCATGACCGGCACGACCTGAAGATTTAAGTCTCTAAAGTCCTCTGTTCATTCTATAATAATAACGCATGTAAGGATTAAAGGCGTGGTTACTTTTTCAAGGTCTTTTGATTCTTATACCAAGCTTTGATCATCAGCTTCATCCCCCTTTCGTTTACATTTACTTTTTGACGTATGATTATTCAAGTGGTAATTATCGTTACGGCTGATTATCGATTAATCGATGTTACGATCAGTTAATTTATAGATAAAATGACTAATGGTTTATCATATATGATAAATTGCGCAGAAAGAAAAGAAGAAGTAATTTTCTTGATTAAAAAAAATTCCTGCCTTCAAAATTTGATATTTCAAACAAAATGCACCATTAAAAATTATAAATGTTTTAGTTTTGTAAGATAGTGAAGGGTACTATGAAATGAAATTGTTATAAATTATTTTTGATCAATTATGAATAAAAATTTATTGTTACAATGTAACACTGAAAAAAAAATTTCTTGACTGGAGAACAAAATTCTTAGTTCAAGAAAATTTTCAGGTGTCTGAAGGAAGACCGAAGTTGTATTGGTCGAAGTAAAAATTTTTCTAGAAATTCTATTCTTGCTGGAAGTAATTTTTTCTTAATTCAAATTATCATAAATACTTGATACAATAAATTTTTATATCTAATCAAGATTTTTAGATACTTTATGGAAGAAACACTACCCACTTCAGCTGAGAAAAAAAATTAACTCATCTTGAGAAAATTTTTCTCTTGAATATTTTGATACCCATTTTATATTATTTTAGCGTGCAATTATACACATTGAATAAAAAAAAATGATTCAATATTATTTGATGTTTCCATTTGACATGTTAAACAATAAAAATATTAATGAAAATTCACTTCTATCTTTATATTTAATTTTTTTGCAGCAAGAAAGAAATTTTCTCAAGACAAGAAAAATTTAACTTCTATCAAGAACTAAATTTTTTTGGTAGCAAGAGGCTGAATTTTTTCAATACAAAAAAGATTTTCACGACTTAAATTTTTCTTGGATCAAGATACGTATTTCTTAAAGCAAGAAAATTAATTTTGTTGGAATAAGTGAAATTTCTTGTGTCAAAAAAAAATTTTTTCGCTCAAGAAAATAATTAGGAAGAAATCTAATCAAGATTTTTTAGATACTTTATGGAAGAAACACTACCCACTTCAGCTGAGAAAAAAAAATTAACTCATCTTGAGAAAATTTTTCTCTTGAATATTTTGATACCCATTTTATATTATTTTAGCGTGCAATTATACACATTGAATAAAAAAAAATGATTCAATATTATTTGATGTTTCCATTTGACATGTTAAACAATAAAAATATTAATGAAAATTCACTTCTATCTTTATATTTAATTTTTTTGCAGCAAGAAAGAAATTTTCTCAAGACAAGAAAATTTACTTCTATCAAGAACTAAATTTTTTGGAGCAAGAGGCTGAATTTTTTCAATACAAAAAGATTTTCTCGACTTAAATTTTCTTGGATCAAGATACGTATTTCTTAAAGCAAGAAAATTAATTTTGTTGGAATAAGTGAAATTTCTTGTGTCAAAAAAAAATTTTTTCGCTCAAGAAAATAATTAGGAAGAAAAACATTTTCTTGGCTCAAGTGAACATTTTTTTCTGTAAAGAAGAGTACAAAAGTTAATATTTAATTTCTTAAAAGGTTATTTGAGCAAATCGATTGAGTTGTTCTGGAATAAAATGTAAAAGACTATGTTACGATTATACGATTGGAAATAATCGGTGTAACTGTACCAGATGCGTATAATAAAATTTACAAAGAAGAAATCACTGCTATTTTTTTTTACTTAAGAACATGTATTTTTGATAATTATTGAAAGTATATTTCTTCCTTTCGGTGTGTAATAGAATTAAAAAATTAGATTAGGAAGTTGACAATAATATACTTGTTCGTAGTTTTTCATTAAAATGTACAGTATGAAACTATTTGAATAAAATTGAATTTTTTACCACCCTAATTTTCAAAGTTTCAAAAGAAATTCTGGTATAAAATAAAATAATTACTTAAATAATTATTTAAAGAAATGTTTTAAATTTACAGGAATTACTTCAGAGAATTTTGTGAAAGTTTAAAAAAATCTTCACTATTACACGTCAAAGTTGAATTGACCTCACCCAGTAATGATAATCACAATTCAACGAAAAATCCAAAAAGATTAATTTTATAATGTCTTCTTGATGGCCCGCAGGGTCAACAATTAGCAAGAAATAATTTCTCTCTTATTTTTTCAAAATTACATGTTTTCGAAATTCAATAATAACATGTTAAACGTTCCACTATTATTATTATTACAGCATTATGTTTTAAGGAATCACACTCGAGAAAATACAAAGATGGTTTGGTTATCACGCAAATTGCAAGATCAAGTCATTAAAATTTGAATAATTCACTTTATTTCGGAGAAAGGTAACTGAAAAACTCAGTTAACACTTCATAATAGTGATTACTGTTCTGCCCGATACAACTCAATACTTATCTTATGAACCCAGGCACGAACACGCAGGTAACATAATAATAAGCAAGATATTAAAAATGAAGCTCTGACAGTCAAATCTTAATTCAACCCTTCATCGAGCCATGACATCGTTATTATCAAAAATGACAGCATAGAAGTTTTATAATAAATAAATAAACGGAGCGAATAAATTTTGACAAATTTTTTTATGACAAAATTTATTTATAATTTTTTTAAGAAAATGATATTTATCTTGTTACTTGACGGGTTATTTGACGGGTAATTTAATGGCTTTTGTTAGAGAACGGACAATGGCCATGATCAAAGAGTGGCCATGAGGCAAAACCATTGAGACTTAAGTGATGGAAGAAATAAAATGTTTAATGGAAATGAAAGAAGATAAAGAATAATCCCGAGTATGAGAATGAGAATAAATAAATGACATCTGAACCAAACTGATTACACGGGAATTAAATTGTCGAGCAGGGTATAACAAAAAATATAATATATAAGTATATAATGTAAGAAATGAACGATAAAATATATTTTAAATGATATTTTAACTTATAAATAAATATAAGTAACAAGTAACGAGTAATTGTCATTTTTTATTCGTCAACATTACCATTATCATTGGGATTTTATGATATCAAGAAAAAATGTTATAGTTAAGGTAAAAAAATTTATTAAATATAAATATATGAGCGAACGATAAACTTTAATGACGTTTGTATGTTACAAGTGTCCGGCTGGTCTTGCCTTTATAAGCCCGTATTATAAAAATTTTATTTATAATCGTCAATTGGATTATGCATACTGTCTTGACATTGGGCGCGGTTACTCCCGAGCCAGTACAGAGAGCAAGTAACGCCCTGGTTTTATTCAGTGAAAGTAAAAGTGCATCTCTGGTTTCATCGTACAGGAATCGCCCTCTTGTCTTGGATTATTTATTTTTAATTTAATGCACATGTGCGTCTGGTTGCGTGGTTATCTCACTCCTGGACACAATTATTGGGTAGCTTTTGCTCATTGAGGTGGTAAGAATTTAGTACCCGAACACATGTAAGCCGGGAGTATGTATTTCAGGAACAGGAGTAGCCCAATTCGAACTAAGGAGATGTAATATATTCACCACTGTGGTAGGTTGGTAGGTTAACAGGTTACGTCACGACGTCTTTTTGCCACCACTTAACGATAAGTTTCGATACCCGGTTAACTTCGATGCATTTCTGTTTCGTATAAATACTTCAACCCACCGTCAACAAACCAGTATCAGACACATCCGTCGACACAACAACAAGACTTATCATGGCTTTCAGGGTAAGTTTTGATAAGAGTAACTAATACTTAAAAATCAATATCTCTAAAAAATTCTAACAGGTCATTTTTTATACTAATATAAAAAAATCAGTCCAAAATTACTATTATAGTAATTAGCTGGTTATTTTTTGTTTTTATCTATTTTTTATAAAGTAATCAAATTTATTTTTAGAAAAAAATTTATTTTACTAGTTAATTAAGATCAAGTTTTTAAATTTCAAATTTTAATATGATAAACTTTATATAATTTGATAAGATTTTATAATCAATTTTGTGTTATTTAACTTTAACTTTTTTATAATCTTAAAGTACAAAAAAAAAGTTTACTACACGGAAAAAACAAGATGACACTAGATATCATCCCAGATTATACTCAGTGATATATCTGTGACAAAAATTTTTTTAGATAGTAGCTAAAAAAAATCCAGATTTTACTGTGTGATATCTGGATTATACTAGCTGCTATCTGAATTTTCTTTTCGCTCAGTATAATCTGGGATGATATCCAGTGTCATCTTGTTTTTTCCGTGTAGAACTAAGAAATTCAAAAAATTTTTAATTTTACTTTAAGATATTTTTTTTTTCTAAATATTTTTTTGTGTCAAGAAAATTCATTTTAAAGCAAACAATTTTTTTTTCTCAGTAGTAAAAAATTCAGAGACTTTATGAGCAATCAAAAATTTTTCTACCATATTTTATGATGAAAACTATCGGGTTAAAAAATTTTTCAATATTTATTGCTTGGTATAAACTTTAAAATAGCCATTTTATGATAAGTAAACTTTCCTATAAACTTATTGTAAAAAAATTATATCTTAAAGCTCTAAAAAAAAAAACACAAAGCAATTTTTTAATCAACCGCACTTAAAAAAAAAAAATTAAATTAATTTATAATCATTAAAATAATAATTTATAATAAATTTCAATTTTTTCCAGTTTGTCACTATTTTGGCCTTAGTAGCCGCAGCAAACGCTGGATTCATCCCAGCAAGTTACCACGCACCATTAGCCTATGCTGCTCCAGCGGCTTACGCTGCTCCAGCGGCCTACGCTGCTCCAGCAGCCTACGCAGCTCCAGCATTAGCCAAAGTCGCTACACCTGTCTTGGCGAAAGCTTCCGAGGACACTTACGACCCTCACCCACAATACAGCTTCAGCTACGACGTCCAGGATTCCACAACCGGTGACTTCAAGAACCAATACGAGACCCGCGACGGAGATTCAGTCCAAGGTAGCTACAGCCTCCTCGAATCTGACGGAACCCGCAGAACCGTCGACTACACCGCAGACGCAATCAACGGATTCAACGCAGTCGTTCGCAAAGAACCCGGTCAAGTTGCTGTAAAAGCCGTGGCACCAATTGCGAAAATCGCGACTCCAGCTGTAGCCTACGGAGTACCAGCCGTCGCTAAATTCGCCACTCCAGTCGCCGCGACCTACGCCGCACCCGCCTACGCTCCAGCTTACGCTAAATTCGCCGCTCCAGCTCTGACCTACGGAGCACCAGCTGTCGCTAAATTGGCCACTCCAATCGCCGCTACCTACGCTGCGCCAATTGCCAAGCTCGCTACCCCAGCCTTGACGTACGGAGCACCAGCTGTCGCCAAATTGGCCACCCCAGTCGCCGCCTACACGCCGCACCCCTACATCGCTCATGTCAGCTACTCAACCCCTCTCTTCTCTTACTCTTTGTAAAAAGTTGTTCGCTAATCATTAAGTAAACGTTTGATGTCAAGACTAAAAATCTGTAATTATATTTTATTTGAAATTATCTTCTTTGTAAAAATTTATTTCTTCTCTGGTTCTTAATTTTTTTAATGGTAATAATACTCTTATGTAGGAAATTAGTGAGCGGATACCCAAGGACGCTCAAGTCCGGTTGTATAGGAAGTAATGTAACAAGCGGTCAGTCAGTCAGCAGACAGTTTAATAAAGTTGCTTTCTTTTGCGTTAATAGAGTAATTTGTAATGTTACATAGGACTTTTATTTTGGAGTTTTTTATTGTATTGTGAGTAGATTTTTTTATATATGTATGTAATGTAATAGAGTAATAGCAAAATAATTGTCTAAGGAATTGTCTGCATTTATAATAGAAGGCCTTTATTTGGATTTTGTTACGTCAATATTACTCTTAAGACAGACAATGGTTTCTAGGTTTTTGACTCCAGTCAATTAGCTGATGTGTTGTGTGATAAAACGAGTTATGTTAGTGGATGATACTGTCTGGCTTTCTGTTTGAATAAGTGCTTTTATACTTTACTTTTAATTGTAACAACACTTTGTATAAACTGTGGTTTTGCTTGTAGTGTATTAATATAAATAAATGAGACCAATTATTGACTATTATATAATATTTCATTTATTATTTATCCTATTTAAGTAGTTTAGTTATTTATTTGTTAAAACAAAGAATTTTCAATTTTTTAACGAAAGAAATAGACACTAAGAATGCAATATCGTCACACAGAAAAAAAAATGTTCTTTATTTTTGAAGAGCTCAATATTCTTGGTTTGAATAGAAAAATTCTTGATTTAAGAAAATTTTTCTTGATTTAAGGAAATTTTACTTAGTTCAAGAATTTTTCGTCTTGATTCAAGACAATTACCCTCTTTAAAATTATATTATTGGTTCAAGAATTTTTCTCTTGAATCAAGTTATTTTTTTTTCTGTGCATATTTTATCTTAAAAAAAAAAGTTGTTTGCTTCCTTTTCAAATTTTTCATCAAATTATTTGGTTTCGAATGATTTTTAATAATCTTCAGTTGGAATATTGACTTATTTTAATTTTTTCTCGGAAAATGACGTCAAAAAAACATGAAAAAAATTATTGTAATGAAAATTCAATTTTTTCATCACTTTTTGTTTGGAAGAAATAAATTAGTACAAAGAAAATATTTTAAAAAATGCAATCATGATTTTTAAGAATTTTTACCTGTAAAATTAAAAAAAAAAAATCATTTTAATAGGAATTTATCTGTTTAGAAATTTCATTTCATTTTTCAATCAAAACGTTTTCTTATATCATAAAGAAATATTTTTCCTTGAATTAAAAAATATTGCATCCATCATTTATTTAAACTTTTACGGATAGAATTTTTTTTCCAATAATTTATTTATTTTAAAATTTCAAACATTACATATTTCTAAATTTCAGCATTATATTCTTACAACTTGATTGTATTTTTACAATTTTATTTAATCTCTAAAGTTTAAACTTTCATAAATTTGTGCTTTTTTTTAAATAAATAAATTTCATTATTTATCCTATGTTCTTTTCAAAAATTTTTTACATTAACAATGAACTCAAATTTGTAACTTAATTTATTATTATAAATCTCATCCATACCGTGATTACAGATCTATATAAAGTCATACAAAAATAACGAACATAAAATTAATCACTTCTTGATTTATGAATAACTTGTTCGAAAGACATAAATAAAAAATTTAACGTTCTCATCGCATGCTACCAGGTACTAAGTATTTAAAGTTAATGTACGAGAATTTTAAATAAAACTAATTCTCAATTACCTTCAGTAATAAATAATTATTTTCCATTGTACTGTAACGCCTTAAAAAGGTATTCAAAACCTTCGGAATTTTTTTTATTTCGCCCAGCGACTGGTTATCCGCGAAAGGAAGTCTCTGCAGTCTTTAGTTTTAAAAAAAGTTCGAATAAACCAACACCTTAGTCATTGTAGCCTCCAGATAAAAATCAGCAGATCTTTTCTTTAACTAATTAACGCTTTATTTTTTTTACCGATGAATTAAACATATGCATATAGCTGCTAAATGTAAAATTCATATGTTTACTAAAAATAAATTTCACTACTTTTAAAACTGTGTTATGAAATTAAATGAGGTTTTTTTAAATTTATAAATTCGTTTATTACAAGAATTATTATTAATTATTACAATTTTTAACATCTAAATTGGGCGTTGCAAAATATTAACTATAAATCACATTTAATGGTGGTAGTAAGCCGGAGCTGAGTGGTAGAATTGCGGCTGTTCGTAGATGGGCGCGGCGTGGGCAACATGAACTGGAGCGGCATGAACTGCTTTGACGGCAACTTGAGCGGGTTCTTTGTGGACAACAGCGTTGAATCCGTTTACGTCATCAGCGGTGTAATCGACAGTTCTGCGGGTTCCATCGGATTCCAAAAGACTGTAACTTCCGTGCACTACATCGCCGTCGCGGGTTTCATGCTGAGATTTTGAGTCACCAGTTACAGAGTCCTGTACGTCGTAGTTGAAGCTGTATTGAGGATGAGGGTCATCTTCAGCGTTAATAGTTTTGTGGGCGACTAAAGCTGGCTGTGCGTGGTAAGCTACTGCGGCGGGTTGAGCGTGGTAGGCTACTGCGGGTTGGGGGTGGTAAGCTACTGCGGCGGGCTGTGCGTGGTAAGCTACTGCAGCGGGTTGAGCATGGTAAGCTACTGTAGCGGGTTGTGCGTGGTAGGCCACTGCAGCGGGTTGGGCGTGGTAAGACACTGTCGCGGGCTGTGCGTGGTATGCTACTGCAGCTGGTTGTGCGTGGTAGGCCAGCGCAGCGGGTTGTGCGTGGTAAGCAAGTGGAGCGAATCCTGCTCTTGCTACTGCCACCAATGTGGTGAAAAGAATAAGCTGAAATAAAATTTTTATTTATTATACATTTTTATGTGCATGCAATTTATGATATTTATTATATTTGAAATAATAATAGTATTCTATATTATTAAGAGAATAAGAAAAATTTAATGTCCAGGATAATCATATTATAAAATGGGTTTTTTTTTAGTGAAATTTAGTGTCATTGCAAAGGTCTTGACTTAAATTTGTGCCTTTTTTAAGGTTTCATTATGATAAGTATTTAGGCTACATTTGAAAATGCTCTATCTCTAGATGCATAATTAAGAAATGACCTTGTATCTTGTGAACTATTGACATTTTGAAAGAAATAAGCTTATCCTGACATTACACTCATCGAGACCTTTCATTTGAATACCCACATCAATTTTTCATATATTTATATATATTATATATATGTATATATGAAAAATATATGAAAATGCATGTAGGTACTCAAATGAAAGCTCTTGATGAGTGTAACATCGGAATGAGCTTATATCTTTAAAAAGGTCAATAGTTAAGAAAATACAGTGCAATTCAATGAATATCTTGTAAACTATTGACATTTTTAAAGATATAATTTCACCCCGACATTGCACTCATCGAGATCTTTTCTTTGAGTACCCACATCAATTTTTCATATATTTATATATATATAATATATATGTATATTTGAAAAATATATCAAAATGCATGTGGGTAGTCAAATGAAAGCTCTTGATGAGTGTAACATCGAGATGAGTTTATATCTTTAAAAACTCCAATATTTAAGAAAGTACCGTGCAATTTAACGAAATTCATTATTTAATAAAGTAAAATTTTATTTATTTATAGTTCACAGTCACGGCAGTGCATGTAGGTACTCAAATGAAAGCTCTTGTTGAGTGTAACATCGGAATGAGCTTATATCTTTAAAAAGGTCAATAGTTAAGAAAATACAGTGCAATTCAATGAATATCTTGTAAACTATTGACATTTTTAAAGATATAATTTCACCCCGACATTGCACTCATCGAGATCTTTTCTTTGAGTACCCACATCAATTTTTTATATATTTATATATATAATATATATGTATATTTGAAAAATATATCAAAATGCATGTGGGTAGTTAAATGAAAGCTCTTGATGAGTGTAACATCGAGATGAGTTTATATCTTTAAAAACTCCAATATTTAAGAAAGTACCGTGCAATTTAATGAAATTCATTATTTAATAAAGTAAAATTTTATTTATTTATAGTTCACAGTCACGGCAGTCACATAGTGACTGCAAGGTTACTAGTTATTTATTATTATTATATTTTGATAAAAAGTATTTTGTTTCAATATTTATTAAATATTAATTTTCATTAATTGGTTACTTCATTTTACTTCAATTAAATTATTATGCTGTAAATAAAAATAAAAATTTAACTAAAATTTTGTGCAAATTATCAAGTTTAATCAAATTAAGTAAATTTATTGAATGACAAATAGACAAAAATTTTTTTAAATAATCCAAATTCTTAAGAAATTTTAGTTAAAATTTTTATTTATATACTTGATATAATTATTTTTAAAACGAAGCTCTATAAGGATTGACAATAAATATAATTACAATTTAACAATTAATTCTAGATTACGTAAAAATCAAATCAAAACTCATATTGTTAAAAAATTTATGCATTATAGCTTCAATAATTCGCAAGATTTTGTTAAATTTCAAACCAAAATTATATAAAAATCTAATTTATATAAATTTGGAATGAATTAAATTTTATTTAGATAAATAAATTGTAAAAAATTCTAATTTGTAGTACAATGTTATTTATTATTCCCGTGATCTAAAGTATTAAATTTAATAAATAAAATAAATACTCACTTTGAATGCCATTGCTCTGTTAATGTCTGGTGAATGACTGATGCTGGCTGTAGCAGACTTAGAGTTTATATAGTGGTCCGAATGTTGAGAAGTAGCTCGTTATTACGAAATAATGTGCCCCAACCGCGCCCGAACTTAACCGCACCGAAAACTCGATTCCATGATTTTCGTCCTGCCAACAAACTTGATTGTATTCTCAAGAACGTACATATAATCTCTCACTCGTGTCCATGCGAGGCTCACTCATATGGTTACATTGCTTTCTTAGTGTGACGACATACGCCACTCGAAATCACGCTATCCTGCTCTTGACCACACAGACGAGGAACCACGTGCCAGATACACCGATGTGTGCCTCTAATTTAGAATATCACGGATGAGAAAAGTTAAATCCTTCTGATTTGTGATTGATTGGACAGGATCTATCTATTAGACCAGCGCGTTTTATACCAACTAAGTAGTAATAGATTTAACCATGTCAGACGCTCGGAACTAATTAATCATCTCTATCATTAAGCTGTGATACCTTAAATAATTAGTTTATTATTTAAATAAAATCAATAATTAATTTATTTATTTAATAGGGTAGATCAATTATGGATTCCACGTTGCGTTCGAAGAAAAAAAAAAGTAAAAGCTTTCTCGGACCTTCATAGAATTTCCCGTACGTTAGCAGAATATAAATTATATACGCGAACCGATAATTGCGCGTAATTTATTTTGTAACTTTAATTAATTAAAGATAGCGCTAATTCTATAATAATAAATTTAATTTTTTGGGAATGGATTTTTCGGAAAATTTTATACTTTATAATAAATAAAAAATAAATTTTTTTGCATGAACTATATTTGTAAATATAAATAAGCATACATTATTTATATATATATATTACAATATTTAAATGGTGATAAACTTATTTTATATGAAGTTAATTGTCATGCAGGATTCGTATTCGAAGGTCGGTTCGGTTACGCGATGACCTGCTCATTGTTCTTTCGTAAACATGTCCCGCAAGTCGTTTCTTGCATAATAAAAAACACGAGCATAATTGTCCAGTTATACGTTAACTTGTTTATACATTTCAATTACACATATTACGACTTTTTTAAATATCTTTTAATCAATTACTTTAATTGAGGTAGACTATTTCTTAATATTCGCTAATTTATTTCAATTATAAATTTATTAATTTATCAATTTGTCAATAAACGTATCCCGCTGCTTCAGAAGTTAAAGGCGCGGATAGCTGAGCGACTTTTTTATTGTTGTTTCTGTTGTTAGCTTTGGTAATTTTAGCAGGTCTTGGAGCTGTCCTTACTGCGGCTGCTGCGGGTGATACCAGTCTTGCAGTTGGAATTATTTGGGCCTGCTTGAAGACAAACGGTGCGGAAAGTAGAGGAGCGGCTCTGATTAAAGTTGCCGGTCTGATAGCAACAGGAGCTCTGTACTGTGCTGCGATAACCGGAGCAGAGACAACTGGTGCAGAGACTAGTGGAGCAGAAGCTACCGGAGCGAGAAATTTAGCAGCCACAGGAGCAGCGGGAACAACTATTGGTGCAGCGGGCACAGTTTTGGCGACAACTGGCGTGACTGCAACAGCAGGTTCGCGATTTACGACGGCGTTAAATCCATTTACTGGATCAGCCGTGTAGTCAACTATTCTTCTGGTCCCATCAGCTTCGATTAGGCTGTAGCTTCCTTGTACGATGTCACCATTCCGGGTTTCGTATTGAGCTTTTGAGTCACCAGTTACAGCATCTTGGACGTCGTAGGCAAATGTATATTGAGGGTAAGGATCGTAGTCGTCCAATTTTGCTAATACTGGTGCTGGAACTAGTCCTGCTTTTGAGATGCTGATGATACTTACGAAGACAATGATCTGGAATATTATTTTGAATTATTAATTATTTGTATACATAAAAAACAAATTTGTTGCACTAAGAAAATTTTATGGAAGACGAAATTTATTTTGGATCAAGAAGAAATAATTATTTGTAAAAAGAAAAAATAAATTTCTTGCACCAAGAAAATTTTAAGGAAGACAAAAGTTATTTTGAAGCAAGAAGAAATTTTCTTGACTCAAAAAATTTTCTTGGCTCTAGAATGTATGACTTCATTCAAGAAATTTTCAATTTTTCTTAATATTTTCTAGAACCAAAAAAATTTTTTCTCCAGTCAAGAATTTTTTTTTTTTTCAGTGTGTGGTTTCATTTTTTTTTTTTTTTCAGTTATATTAAAATTATTATTGTCATTATTAAATTCTTAAATTTCAAACATTTGGTTTATTAAAAAATTTTTGGTCAAATTTTAACATTAAAGTTAGCTGTCACCTGACCAATATTTAATTTTATTTAACAATTAAATTAATTCTAAAAAATTATTTTTAAAAAATTGCATTTTTAATTTTTAAAAATTTCTACAAGTCAATTTTTTTTTTTTTTATGTTTTTTGCCGTAATTTATCTGTTAACAACAGTTCTAATAATTATTAAATATCTGCTAAATAAATTTTCACGATTTTTAATTCAAATGTATAAAAAATATATCAGATAGATGTTTTAAAAAAATTATTATATGAAAATTGAAAAATTAATAAATTTTGAACTAATATAGAATAAAAAATCTTAGAAATAAACTTTCAAAAAAAAATTTTAATTTACTGGAAACTCGAAAAAAAAAATACCTTGGAAATCATGTTTATTAAGTTAGCCAACAAATGTGATGGGATCAAAAACACTAAGAGAACTGTTTAGCTTCTGTACAAAAGCATTCATCTTATATCTGACAGCCCCACTCTGAATAAAAAATATTTGATGGTTTATTACGCGCATCCTCATACTAAACTCTGTTAAAAATGAAACAATGTGAGGCAACTTCATTTCATATTAGTATTTCGCGTTGTGTGGAGCATCAGCAATTGCATACCAATGCTCCGAAATTCGATGTCCGTCATCCAATCTTGTTTTTAGCAGTCACTTGAGAGCTTGCTATGATTTATATTGAAACAAATGTTAAGTTCCTTACTCAATGTTATGACTAACAAAGTTACGGTACCACGTTAGATTCACCGTTACTATTATTGTTATTATTATTGTTAGTTTCGTTTATGTAACAATGGTAATTGGAATCGTTATAAAGTAGAACGCGTTTAAATTGTATTGATTTTATAAGAGTAAACAAAAGTTGAATTCGTAATGACATTTAATGAGGTCAATAGGCTCGACCTTCCCAATAGTTTTCGGATTTTATACGTGGCCTTAGTCAACTACCCTTGTAGTCACCAATCGCTGTATAATTTTATTGCTGCGGTTAATCCAAGTATTCTTGATATCAATTGAAATTGCAATAATGTTTTATTTAAAATTAGTTGGTGGGAGACTAAATGGCTGATGTAACATTGTGACATCTTCAGGGATATAAATTCAAGCGGAATGTGTTTGTTGGTATCAGTTGTCTCTTAGAATTCTCAGCGATCAGTAGACTAAACAAATAATTTATTAAAATGGCTTTCAAAGTAAGTTTTAAATTATAAAAATGTATTTTTAAAAGTGATAAAAGTTCTGGCAAAGTTTTACACTCGTATAATTTTGAGCTTGTCGGATAAAGTGAATTTTATTTGAAAAAATTCAATCTAGACTTTTGGGAATAGAAAAAAAATTGATTTTTAATTATTTTAATCGTCAAAAAATTAATTATTTTTAAATTTGAAAAAAAAATTGGATTTACTCTCAAAAGCTTTAATCTCTTTTTCAAAAATTCGGATTAACATTTTTTAAATAAGCTTCACATTTTTCATCAATCTCAAGATCAAAATTTTAACGATGAAAAAAAATTAATCAAATTGTTTTGTTTAGATTTTCTTATTTGCTGTGGTGATAGCCGTAAGCTCTGTAAAAGCAGCAGTGGTACCAGTAGCACCAGCAGTTCCCGTTCCAACAGGGCCGGTTTTGGCAAAAATTGAGGACTTTGACGCTGTGCCGCAGTACAGTTTTGCTTACGATGTTAAAGACTCGCTGACTGGAGACTCAAAGGCTCAATACGAAACCCGTAACGGAGACGTTGTCCAAGGAAGCTACAGCTTAATTGAAGCTGACGGAACCAGAAGAATAGTTGACTACACTGCGGATCCAGTAAACGGATTTAACGCTGTCGTAAATCGCGAACCTGCTGTTGCCGTGGCTGCCCCTGTTGCTCCAGTCGCTGCTAAAGTTGTTGCTCCAGTCGCTGCTAAAGTTGTTGCTCCAGTTGCAGCTCCAGTAGTTGCTGCTAGATACGCTGCTCCAGTTGCAGCTCCAGTAGTTGCTGCTAGATATCCTGCTCCAGTAGTTGATGCTAGATACGCCGCTCCAGTAGTTGCTGCACCTTACACTTCTCCATTTGTAGCAGCTCCATACACTTTACCCCGTGCAGTTGCTGACAGATTCGCCACTCCAGTTTATTCTTCTCCATTAGTGGCGCAGAACACTATACTTTATTAATTGTTGTTTTTGAAATTTTTTGTATACTAATTTGAGTTTTATTTCTGTTATTGATTTTGTTTAATCACTTTTTTTGTTACAAATAAATGTTTAGCCAATATTTTGTTCGTTTTGTTATTTTTTTGTAATTTTTTATAAATTGGAATAATTTAAGTTAAATTAAGGTAAAAGATCTAATTATTGATACTGGCCTAGGTGTTTTATACTTGCAATATTTTATTTTAATTAAGAAAATAAAGTGTTCTCAAAAAACCAATTATCTTAATATTTATAATTCAAAAATTATGTTTATTAATTTATTAGAGTTGACTTTTTTTTTAATTAAAATAAAATTGCCGGTGTTAATAACTATGGATTTTTATCTTAGATCAATATATTAACTAAAATTGATAATTATTTCACTTAAATGTTAACACAAACTTTATCAGGCACATAATGTTAATACATTAATCTAACATCATAATAAATCATAATATTCTTATAGTTTTTCTTTTTAAAATTTTAAATTGACGATTTAAGTATAAAGAATAATTTTATACAGTGTATACAATATTTGATCATTGTTGATTGCCGTTGTCCTTATATTAAGCACTGCTCACTATGATAGAAGGATTTATTAAGGATGTATTAAAAAATATTTGTTAATAGTTAACAAATCATTTATTAGAGACCACTTTTTAATCCTTAAAAAATATTTCTTAGTATTTAAAAAAATTTATTAATATTTAATAAATGAATATTATATTTATTAAATACAAACAAATCTTTTTAAATACTAAAAAATATTTGTTTAATACTAAAAAGTGGTCTCTAATAAATGATTTGTTAACTATTAACAAATATTTTTTAATACATCCTTAATAAATCCTTCTATCATAGTGAGCAGTGCTTAATATAAGGACAACGGCAATCAACAATGATCAAATATTGTATACACTGTATAAAATTATTCTTTATACTTAAATCGTCAATTTAAAATTTTAAAAAGAAAAACTATAAGAATATTATGATTTATTATGATGTTAGATTAATGTATAACACAAAAATTTTTAACACAAAATTTTTTGACGCAATGACGCAAAATTTTTTACTGTGTACAAAACACTGCATAAACTGAAAAAATTTCAAAATGATAACATTTTTATTGTTGTCTAAAATTTAATGAAATCTAGGGTATTATCAAATTATGAATATCTAATAAAATTTTTTAGTGAGACAAAAAACCATTAAAAAAATATTTACATTTGAAATTTAAAACAGTTATCATTCAACAGTATTTTTATTTTTAGAAGTGGGAGTTTTTACTATTAATGAATTGCTTGGTCATTAAATAAAACTATAATTTAAATCTATTCATTTTTCCGTTTACTTTTTTAATTCTGTTAATTAGTTATAATAAAAAGATTTTTTCTAAATTCAATTGTTAATATCTAATTTTTTTTTCCCATATTGTAATAAATAACAATTGTAAATTATGGGTCTTATTTAGAAGTTATTTAAAGTTGTATTAAAAAGCAAAAAGTAGTTCAAACGTTACTCTGTAATATCATACTTAAATACTGTTTTAACGACCGATACATCATTTAGATAAGAAAAAATTTAATTAATTAATACCAAGGTTTGCAAAAAATAAAACTAATTCTTCAAAGAAAGATATGAAAATTTATAAAAGAAGCAAGATATAAAAATATTTTTATGATTCCACACATAAGATCATTTATCAATCCTACACCATTTCCAGATAATAATAAATTCCATCAGTCAATATTATTCATATCATATTAAAATTACCCAATCTCTATAAATAAAAATTTCCAACTCCGAATCCAACAATCAAAATCCTTATAATAAATTCACGATACACTTTTATTGATATTTAAAATTTATTGGTGACATCGCCATGTATACTGAATAAAATATAATCGTGATTTCAGCATGCATACATCAAAAAAACAAAGCTGCAATCGTCATCATATGATAATAAACCACCAACAAAACCGTACGCGATGTAGAAATCACTGGTGGATGCTCATACTAAATCTGAATTCAATCCGTGCAACTGTCTTCGCTGAGTAAGTATTTTTTAGGCACCTTATGTAATCCCCGTTGTATCAAAGTTGAACACACTTTTAGTGTTACGTGAGTGACCGTAGGTGGCTCGATTATTGGTACTGGGTTTGCAAATCGATTAAGATAAGTGAGTGTCGAAAAATTTTGTCACTCACAGTTTTTAAAATTAATTTACCCAGACTACTTAACTTACAGTACTAATATTAACATTGTACCCTACTAATTGATCGTATCAGTTAGTTTTGGTTCTTGGCATGCAAAAAAAAAAGTCAACCAAAGTGTTCAGTAAATAAATCAGATCAAAAATAATCATTACAATAGCTTACAAATGATTTATTGACAGTTCATTACAATTGCAGTACCTCCCGTTTGATAATATGTACAAAATATTTATAAAAAATCATATCAAAGCTCAGAAGTTTAGATTGGTGTAAGTGAGACCAGCAACTGGAGCAGTGAATGCCAAAGGTGATGAGTAAGCTCCAGCGTAGGCTGAGTAAGGCGGGTAGTTAAGAGTTACTGGAGCCTGAGCTTGATTTTGAACCTGAGCTTGGTTTTGAGCTTGCGCGTTTCTTGCATTCTCTTGAGCAGCTTCTTCAGAATTCACCCTAGTGGCCTGAGCTCTCAAGGGAGCAGAGTTTTGCCTTTCAGCGGGGATCCGGTTTCCGAACCTTTGCTGAGCTTCCGTAACTCTCTGGGTTTGCTCGCGTCTCAGCGGTCCAGACCTTGCGTCAATAACTTCAACATCTGAGTCAGGTCCGCTTTCGGGAACGGCAGGTGCTGGAGCAGGTCCGGGTCCACCGGGAAAGACTTGTCCCGGGGCGAAACCAAATGGAGCCACCGGAGCTACTGGAGCCGCTACGGGAGAAACTGGAACCGCTGGAGCGATTTCTACTGCGGGGGCTGCTGGAACTGCAATGGCTGCAGGTTCGCGACTGACCACGGCGTTGAATCCATTGACGGGGTCGGAGGTGTAGTCGACGATTCTTCTGGTACCGTCGGGTTCAATCAGGCTGTAGCTTCCTTGTACGATATCGCCGTTTCGGGTTTCGTACTGAGCTTTCGAGTCACCGGTCAGAGCGTCTTGAACGTCGTAGGCGAAGGTGTATTGTGGTGCTGCGTCGTAATCTTCGTATTTGGCTGCCACGACTACTGATGCTGGTTGTACTACTGCTGCAGGTTGAACTACTTGCGCAGCTGGGGCCACTTGTACTATCGCAGCTTTTGCGGTGAAGGCAGCTGCCAAAATTACGATCAACTGAAACAGTTTATTATTTTATTATTTATTTATTTATCTATTTAAGGATACTAAAAATTTAATAGATAAATAACTTTTTAGTTAAAAAAAATTTTAAAAAGAAAATTAATCGACGGTCTAATTAGCACTTTTGTCTCTCCTTATTTTTTAGAGGGTGATTTTTTAACATTTTGATCTAGCCATAATCGAATAATAAATTATTTGAATGATTCAAATCTAAATATTATACCTATCTCTATTAGATAATAATGATATTAAATTGTTTTTTAAAGTGATAATAAATTTTCAACTAGTTGTTTTTTTTCGTACAAATAGAAGATTCTCTAAAATGGAGTTAGACAATTTGCTAATTAGAACGTCGTAATGATTTCTATATTTAATTTCAAAGAAAAACTTTTTAATTTAATCCCAAAAATATTCGATATTCTGCGATTATTTAATTCACAAATTTTGACCTTATATGCACGCTAAATTATTAATAATCAGTTTTAAAATTTTAATAGGGTTAAATCGTATTGAAATTAAATTTAAAAAAATTGACGAACTTGAATTTAGAAAATATTTGTGGTAAAAATTTTACTTTTGAGAAATGGATTGCAAAAAATTTTATCTATAATAAATTCATAATTTTTAAGGAATTTTTTGCTAATTAATGTAAAACAAAACTTATTTTTTTAATGATAAGATATGATAAGGGATACTTTGTCGATGATTGATAAAGTACAACAAAAAATGTCTGGTAAACTTAATCGCAGGCTTAGTTTCTCACCTTGCAAGCCATGTTTAAACTGATATCACCAGAAGACTGATGGCTTAGGGTGAGATCCATCGTGTATTTATACAACGGGATGTTACCAATCCGCGATGGCAATGACCGGTAAAGAGGTATATCTATAGCTATTACTATAAAACCAATATAAATACGACACCCCCACCAAAAAGTATTAAATGTATGCTGTGACCTCTCCGCCTCATAACTATGTGCCGTTTACCAATGCACATACTTATACTTAACTTATATGTTTCTCCATATCGGCAAGCTGCGTCAGGCGCCTTCTACTTACATTACATATTACATATTGTATTAAGTCAATATAATTTGTTTTGTCAGTTCGATGGCTGTCCAATACGCGACTTGACAACCAAACGTTACAGATTTTTTACTTTATCCTTTTTCGTCATCACTGTGTCGAGCGTAAGTACTTGCTGTTTATTCATTTTTTCGGGTGTTAATTTTGCTTTGGGGTAATAGGGTAATATTTTGGTGTTTTTGGCGTTTAATTATGACTATGTAAGAAGAAAATTTCAGATTTTTAGAGACAATGAGTAATTCTGAAAAGTTTCTTAAAAATTTTTTATTTTAAAATTAACATTTTTTAATGTTTAAAAAAAAATTCAATTATATTTGTTTCAGAAAATCATAAAATTTTTTAGATGTTGAAAATAATTAAAAGTTTGTCTGCAATAATTTGTAGAATTGTGATATTAATTACGAACACTAAACAGAAAAAAAAATTAACGTGAATCAAGTTATTAATTTTGAAGAATTTCATTTTTTTGGTTTGAGTTTAAAAATTCTTAAATTAAAAAATTTTTCTTGGTTTAAATAAATTTTGCTTGATTCAAGAAAATGAACCTCTTCAAAATTATTTTCTTGGTTCAAAAATTTTTCTCATGATTGAAGATAATTTTTTTTCAGTGTATAAAAAAGTATCAGTCTAATTTAACAATTTCTATATTTTTATAAATAAAATTTGAAATGGCTTTTATAAAAATTTGAAACTGACTTTTTTATATTTAAAAAAAAAATAAATAAAAATTATTAATATTTTTCAACTATTTTATAAAATTATACTTGAGAAAATTTTGTAAACTGTTAAAAAAAGATTTCAGAAATTTTTTTAAAAATTATACTAATGTTTCCAGAATATTTAAAAATATTTTTAATGTGTGTGAAAAATTCTACAGTGCATAATTTGATTTTAATAATTATTAAGAACACCGTAAGAATTTTTTGATAATAGTATACCCAACAATAGAATTAATAAATACAAAAAATAATATTTTTAAATACAACCCAAAAATAATAACGATCAAATAATAATAAAAAGTGTAACCTTCGACATTGTATTTTTATTATCATGAATATCATTACTCAACCAAATAGAAAATTAGGTAATGCGTAAGAGTAATTTATCGCCGCGACGTCTCATTGTCACGTACCGCAAAGACGTGTAAAGAAAGCATCACATAATCCTAAACTCGTCTCGCACATTTAATTAACTCATCAACTTAACAGCCATAAACAAACAACACCTTTTATTTTCTCACTCTCACAATAAATTAGTCAGTAAAAATTATGACGCAAAAAGTATGCTCAGTTCCGCATCTACCAGCTGAAACTATATTAGTTGTATTAAATTGAATTGATGCCTAATTTCGCTATGAATAAACCATAAGATCGTCTAGACGACGCATTAGTCATATTTCTCTCGAAATTCTTTCTACCAAAAATTTTTTTTACAAAAGCCTGACGTAACTAATTATCAGAATTTCAAACGATCTTTGTGATCTAATGATCTAAAAACCGAATTATTGTTTCATTTGAAGGCTTTGATTATAACAATTGTAATTATAATGGGTATTAAACTAAAAAATGATAAAATGAGAAAGTTTAAAATTTATTAATTAGACATGGGCAATTCAATGTCAATGGCCTATTTATTATTATTTATTCACTGTATTTAATTCTATACATGCTTCAATCAAGCATTGCTCAAGTTCTTTGTATTTCTTATTAGCTTTTTTTTATTGTTGAAAATCACGCGAAAATGCCTGGCACGTTGTGTTAATGTGGTAAGACTTGGCGAATATCCACTTTCGCGTGCCTGCCTTGAAGACTCTCTTACTAATTCCATTAATCTTCATAACTATTTTATTTACTAATAAAAATTCTTTTCGCCAACCTTGAAAGTTCGTACAAATTATTTTACACGTAAAAAAAATAACCGTTCCATTTTTTCTTTTGCTCAATAAATACATTTAGATTTTTTAAATTAAACCATAATAAAATCTGATACGACAAAAATCAACCGACCTGAATTTACTAAAAAATTTCTGCTTTAAAATTATATATTCATAGAGAAAAATGAGCAGAGTAATTGAATGTTGAAACTATAACAATTTTTTATACTCTTTTTGCTTTTTTTATTCGTCCAATATTACCCAAATCTAATTGAATATTTATTATTCATTTCTTTCTCTTTATTTATTGCTTATAAATGTAAATATATATAAATATTTATTTATATTTCAGCGGTACATCGATTAATCTTTGATTGTACATCGACTGATCTATAAATATATTTATAAATGCAAATAAAAATCACATTCTCCGTAGCAAACTGCCTAATATTTTTTTTTTAATAATTTTATTCATTTACATACTAAATTAATCCTTAATTAATTAATTTATTTATTTTACAATAAAAAAATAAGATCAGAAATTTTTTTACTGAAAAAGTCAACGTGTAAAATATTAATCGTTTTATTGTCATTGTTTAATGTTATAATAATAATAATAATATAAAAATTTGTAGTACATAAGTATATACATGTGACTAGGTCATAAATGGCTACAAGTTAAAGTTTAAAATCTAAATGGATACACTGGGGCAGGAATTGGCGCAGGAACCGGAGCAGGCCCAAAGAATGATCTTCCGTAAGGGAACGGCGCTGGCGCATGCGCAATCGGACCTAGAGAAGAAAATGGCGAGTATGGAGAAAATGGCGATGGAACTGCCGGTACTGCAGGAGCAACTGGAACTGCTGGCGCAGTTTTTACAACAGCTGGTGCTACTACAGGTGGAGCTGCTGGTACAGCATTAACGACAGCTGGTTCTCGATGAACAACGGCGTTGAATCCATTTATCGGATCCGCAGTATACTCAACAACTCTTCTTGTTCCATCGGCTTCGATAAGGCTATAACTTCCGCTGACGACATCGCCATTTCGCGTCTCATGTTGAGATTTTGAGTCTCCGGTCAATGAATCTTGGACATCGTAAGCGTAAGTGTACTGCGGATGAGGATCGTAATCCGTTGAAGCCTTAACAACTGGTACTGGTGGTCCTGCGATAATTCCTGCCTGAGCGACTGCTAGGATGGATCCAAGTGTTACCAAAAACTGTTAACAGAAATAATGCAGATATTAGAATAAAAATTGATATTTTTCTTCACAAGGTTCAATCACTGGAGATTCAATTTAATTCACTCACGGAGCAGTATTTTATTTATCCACAAAAAATATAGCTCACCTTAGTAGCCATGATGACCGTGATTGATTTGTTATAACCCGGAAGTTTGCTAACGAGTACGAAAGCAAGACTGATGTACTGGTTATTCGGAGCAAACGTTTTTATAGGAACACTTGTGCTCTGTATAATTGATGTGCGCTATAGTTTGCTGGACAATGACAAATTCATCCGGGGCGGAGGGGCGAGGACAATATATCGTGCAATACACTTAACTTGCATTGTAAATAGTTTGGCCATTGCGTACGTGATTTTGTTGACGAACGCTCTGGGAAAAGTTTCGAAGCGACGTTACAATTTATGGCTGACCGGTACTTTCGTTTTTTTTTTAAATGCTCATCGTTATATGGATCAGCGCTAGTTTTTTTAATGGTTCGATTTTTTTGAACGGTAGAAAAGTACAATTTGGTTTAAGCAACGTTAGATGCTTTGCTTTCAAGTTAGTTTGGGGGAAAGTATTATTCATTACGTGACGAGATATATTTCGTAAAATGGAATTTTTGATGAATGGAATTATTCACTGATAAAAGGATTTTTTTGCATTTAAAAAATGATGTTTAATAAATGATTTCTTAAATACTAAGAAATCCTTCTATCAGTGTTCTAGCTACTGATGTTATTTTATCATGTAATTTTAATGAGATTATAGACGATATCGTCATAATCATAATTCAAATGTTTATTATACATTAATTTGAAGAATTATACGACACTGAAGTTAGCAGACATCTAAAAATTTTTGATTTTTTTTTTTTAATTAAATTACAACCAAAAAAAAATTTATAAAAAATTGCACTTATAGTTTTTCAAGTTTTTAACATATGATATTTTTTTTTTTAATTGTTTAATTGAAATTTTTTCGATAAAAAAATTTATAAAAATTTTGAAATGTCAGCTAACTTCATTTTCATAGAATTATTTATTTATTTATTTATCAAAAAGTTATGCCAAGGCCTCATAAGTCGAATGACAAATTAACAAAAAAAATAATCATCATATATTCATAATAGAAATACATTTTATAATAGTACATACATCTCATAATACATTTATAATAGTATTGTTTAATAAATAAATTCACATTTATAAAATTTAGAATTTAAGGAGCAAATTTTTATTTTCTAACTAGAATAGTATCCAAGAAAAGCACAGAAATGAAAAGAAATAAAGGTAGTCTCAAAATAAAAATCACCAGTAATCAAAATCAAATTACTGTTTTCCTTTATTAACTTTATAAATTACGAAAATTATTTTTCATCTAATTAAAAATTTTTTAAATGAATATTTTGAGCTAAAAAAAATTTTAACAAAAGTAAAATTTCTTTACTCTTTTTTGATTTATTTTAAATTTTGTAATTGAAATTCAAAAATTTTTCAACAAATAAATTTATTTTTTTTATAAATATCTTGTTATATAAAATGAATAAAAAAATAATTCAATATTTTTCTTCAATTCGTTTTTTTCTTAGTAAAAAATAAAAGTTTTTATTGAATTTTTTTTGAGCTTGAGGTGAGTGGCGTTGTATTGACTGTAATAATAAAACACATTTAACACGTCACGCCTGAAGTGTTCGATAATTTAAAGTGAATTTTTATTTATAGCAATATAATCAATTGAACTTAGCAAACGTTTTTTTAACGTTTATTTAAAATAAACACATTTAATAATAAAAATAAAAATTAAATATTAAGAAATGACTTGCATTTTTATAGCGCGGGTAATGATTAAATTATTTTAATGACACGAATGAGCGTATCAATATTATTGATATTCAAGGCACTGATATACTTTCACATCCTGGTTGACTAATTTTTGACGAGCGTCAATGAAAGATGACATAAATAGATGAGTATTTATTCTATAATTACAATATCTAAAAATTTATTTTCAATAAATTTTATTTAATAAATCACGAGTAATGAAAATACTGCGAGAATAAAAAAAATTCGAATTGATTATGTTGTTGAGGATAATTTATGTGATAGTGATTCACCCACATTGGAGCTTGGTAACGTAATAAGGAAAGAAGATGAGTTGTAACCTTGGCAATGAGACGCTTGAGAAGTGGGTCATCGCGCCCGGAGCGAGATATAACACACACGTCTGCATCTCGATCCACGATCTACAGAGCGGACGACTTACTAACTTACATAATAACGCTCGGAGTTTCCGAGGTCAGCGACTCATCATTGACTCGTTTATTCTTCCTCATATCTTATGATACGTCTTCATTTATACTTATTGGCCGTTAACCTGTTTATTTTTATGCACTTATTGATTTATTTCTTTCTTATTAATATGTTGTATATTATTAGTGTGGGCGTTAAATCTTTTTATATAAAATAAAAAAAAAATTCAAAATCTTCGAAAATTTTTTTATTTAAGAATTTTATTAAAATAGTTTAAAATACGAATCCCAGAAAAAATAAACCCGGAAAAAATAAACTCGAAATAATTTTAAAGTTATAAAAAAATTCATATTATTTAATTAAAATTATCTTTTTATATTATATATTTCTTCTGGGCTGGACCGATTTTAATGAAATTTTTTGTGTCTTCCGGTGGACCCCAGAATGGTTTAGATTCACAATTCAGTTCATGGGAAAATGTTTATTTAATAGATTTTTTATTTATAAATTGTTGTTGACCTTGAGTACCCACATGCACTTTTCATATATTTTATAAATATCATATAAATGAAAAAATTCATGTGAGTACTCAAATGAAAGGTCTCGATGAGAGTAATCTCAGGATGAGTTCATATCTTTAAAAATAGCAATAGTGAAAAATTGATGTGGATACTCAAATGAAAGGTCTCGATGAGTGTAATGTCAAGATGAGCTTATATCTTTAAAAATATTATTAGTTGACAAGATATAATGTCATTTCTTAATTATTGAAGTTTTTAAAGATATAAGCTCATTCCGATGTTACACTCATCGAGACCTTTCATTTGAGTACCCACATGCATTTTTCATATATTTTATATATTTCATAAATATCATATATATAAAAAAATTCATGTGGGTACTCAAATGAAAGGTCTCGATGAGTATAAAATCAGAATGGGCTTATATTTACGAAAATGTTAATTATTGAGGAATGCCCATTGCATATTGTTAACTAATAATGTTTTTAACTATACAAGCTCATTCCTAAAATTTCTAAATTTAAGACGTGTGTACAGGACAACGTCTGTCGGGTCCGCTAGTTATAAAATAAAAATTATAATAATAATAATAATCATTTTTTTTGTAACAAAAAATGGAGCGATCATTCTAAAGGTGCTTGCTTTTCAGGATAATTGTAGGTGCGATACAATTATTATTATTATAATTTATATTTTATAATAATTTTAATGAAATAATATGAACTTTTAATAAGTCTAAAATTTTTTCCAGGTCAATTTTTTTCGATTACTTTAAAATACATATTAGCAATTTTTTTTAAATATAATATTCCTTGCTAATTATATGTAAATGAAAATAGATTGTAGTTTTCATTATATGGTATTGTAAATATCTTAATATAATAAAGAATAACAAATATTCAAAATTATAAAAATATAACTCGAGAAATTTTTACAGAATAATTTAATTACAATTAATTTCTGCCAAGAATAAAATTAAGAAATTCAAAAATAAAAACTAGAAATTAGGCCATTTGAAGATTGCCATGCACACGTAATAACGTCATTAGTCTTCTGATTTCGTAATAACATAAAATTTCTTGGCGAATCCTATAATCTGCGCAACCGGAATCGCGGATTGTTACATCAAATGTAACGTGATCATATGAACATAAAGATTTGGCAGCAGTCCAGCTGCATTTAAAGTTGAGAAATAAAATAAAAAAACAATACTAACTTTTTGCCAAATTAACTACAGCTTTGATTAGCTCTATAGTTTACCAGCATAATTTAATAACAGGACAGGTATTTATTTAAAAGACCTTTTCTTCGATTTGAGCAATCGTGTTCTCTTTTCTTTTTCTCCCAATACAAGCGAAAGTAAAAATAAAAGTTTGTTCTTTTTTGGCGATCTAGTTCTTCGAGCGTCTACCTACTCTTTTTTTCGTCCACTTACTTACTATTACATAACAGTATGTCAAAGTGACTGCTACACAGTTTGTCAAAATGTGAGACAAGATAAGAGCATTGTCGATAGCTTTCTTCATACATTCATACATAAATAACTTTATTAAATTATTATGTATATGTATGTATTTGTTATTTAATTTTACTTTTAATATTTTAATATTATTATAGATTTTATCTGATTAATATTATTTTTCAACACACACCACTGTTATAAATACTTTCACTCAATATAATTCAAGATCTTAAAAATACGATTGTGGTAATTTTGTACACGGAATATCGTTCAAATATTTCGTAATAATTTGTTACCTATTTAAATATAAAAATTTAATTATTTTCAATCACATTGTTATGCTATAAAACAATCTTTATTCTAAAATTGATTTTAATTACAAAGAAACATTAAAGCTTATCTATTACAACAAAAGTAATTAAAAATACTCCGTAAATCATAACTATATCTATACAAGTCAAAAAGTGCTCTATTATAAAATAATAAAGTGATTCAGTCATTTCAAGTTTGTGCTAGTGCGGTATTAAATTTACTAGTGATATTTAGTGGTAAAGCTTGGTCAAAGGTGCAGCGTAGGCGACTGGTGCTGGTGCAGCATGAACCAAAGGTGCTGCTTTGAATACAGGGGCAGCATGGGCAAGGGCAATTGGAGCGGATGCGGGTTCTTTGCGAACAACAGCGTTGAATCCGTTGATGGGGTCGGCAGTGTAGTCAACAATTCGTCGGGATCCATCGGCTTCGAGTAAGCTGTAGCTTCCATGAACAGAGTCTCCATCACGGGATTCGTATTGCTGCTTGTTGTCGCCGGTAATTGAGTCTTGGACGTCGTACGAGAAGCTGTATTGTGGGTGAGGGTCGTAAGCACCTTCAGATTTTGCCAAGACAGGAGTAGCGATTTTGGCTAATGCTGGAGCTGCGTACGCCGCTGGTGCAGCGTATGCCAATGGAGCGTGGTAACTTGCTGGCACGAATCCAGCGTTTGCTGCAGCTACGAGTGCGAAAAGGGTGATGAACTGAAATATGAAGAAATTTTTTTAAGTAAAATTGTTGTTATAAATTATAATAAAAATTGCAAAAAAAAAAAAAATAGTAAAAATTTGAATAATATTGAATTTTATTTCGTTCGAAAATTAAGTAATAAATTGTGATTAATTAAAGATTAGATAAATTAACTAATTTTTTGACCTAAAAAAATTATTTTGATTTGATCAATAAAAATTTGAAAAATTAACTAATATTTTAAATTAAAAAATTTATTGAAAATTTGAACTGAAAATTGTTTTTTTAAATTTGTTTCTTTTCGAGAATTTCGTAAGCAGATTTGGAAAAAAATATATTGTTACTTATGTCTTTTATATTTCAAACGTGAAAAAAAAAAAAATAGTAAATCTAATATTTTATTATTGAAGAAAAAGAAATTTAAAAATACTAATCAATTAACGAAGAAAAATATGACGATTATAATTTTAAGCAATGAATTTTCTACAGAAAATTGATAATTTATTTCAAAAATATGAAAACAGTTATACCTTGAAAGCCATTTTTGAATTATGTGGAATCTGACGAGTCAGTAATACTTGTGAAACAGGCAGTTGTACTGAATACACTCTGTTGTGTCCTGCGTCCTTTATACCCCTTGAGTGCACCCCTCTACTGGTTGATTCCCGGTGATTCCAGTTAATGGGACCCCAATTCGACAAAGTTCTTTTTGGATAAGTAGTGGTTACACAAACTCAGCCAATCTTCTCGTTATTACGCTTACCTTGTTGATGCAATTTCATGCATATGTATATATATATATATATATATATATATATATACTTATAAAGAACGTGAACTTCTCAAGGACGGTCAATTTAATTGCAAGCATAATTATAATAAAAGGAAAAGAAAAATTGAATCTAACATTGTATTTTAAAAATCTTTTTGTAAGATTATTTTTTTGAAAAAACAAAAGGATTGAAAATAATTACTCATATACTGAATGCCCATAAGTGGGAAAATCTAAATGAGTTTCAAATAAATTTTTAATAAGAGATTCACGAAACTTATAAAAACTTTTTTTTGCTAACTTAAAAAAGTTATTTTTTTAATTTTTACTAATTAAATTCATTTAAACTATATAAAATTTAAATTATATAAAATTCTTTTAACTAAATTTGCATTTTTCATGCAATTTTTCTTTAAAAATAACGATAAAATCTAGTGAAATGCATGCACTGCAAGCTGAAACTGCGGCTGTAGATAGTTTAGTTGAATTTAAAAATACTTTAATCACTTTTTCCAACATGATAATTAATAATTGCAATTTTTATTTTGATCTCATTTAAAATATTATTTTACATACTGAATTAAACTTTAAATTATTTCTTTGTATTAAATGATCTATTTGTATTTCATCAAAATTTAAAATTAAATTTGATTGTAAGCCATTAATTAATTAAGTAATCTTGTACTGAGTTATACTTATCATATATAAAAAATTTTTTAGTTTTAATTTTTAAAATTGCACATAGATAGAAAAAACTTGACTTGATTAAAGAAAAAAAATTTTCAAAGAAAAAAAAAATGATGAAAATTTGATGATCTAGAATCTAGCACATAAAATTCTTTAATTAAAAAATTGTTTTTGATTAAAATTTAATTTCTTATTAAAAATGCAAACCGATGTAAATCAATGTATCCTAAATAATGATGGCTCTAAGGGAGCTTAGGTTCCAGAGTAAAATAAAATTTTTTATCTATCTATATATAGAAAAATAATTTCAACAAAAATTAATCAGAAAAAAATTACTTTCTTTATTATGCACACGCTATTTACAGCAATTAAAAAAAAAAGAACGAAAATATAAAAAGCCATACAAAAATAAAAAAAAAATTATACTGGATAATAATTTTTTCATACAAAAACACCATCAAAAAGAAAGAACTTAGTGGTGGTAAACGGCCTCAGTGTAGTGAGCAGGTGCTGCTGTGTAAACTGATGCAGCTTTGTAAGCTACTGGAGCAGTTTGGTAAACTGGAGCAGCTTGGTAAACTGGAGCAGAGTGATAAACTGGAGCCGCTTTGTAGGCAACTGGAGCAGCATGGTAGACAGGGGCAGTTTTGTAGGCAACTGGAGCAGCGTGAACTACTGGAGCAACGGCTTTAACAGCAACAGCAGCGGGTTGTTTTTCAACCACAGCGTTGAATCCGTTGACATCATCAGCGGTGTAGTGAACAACGCGGCGAGTTCCATCAGCTTCAACAAGACTGTAGCTCCCTTCAACAACATCTCCGTGGCGAGTTTCTTGCTGGGTCTTTGCGTCACCGGTCAAGCTGTCGTGGACGCCGTAGGAGAAGTTGTACTCTGGGTGAGGGTCGTACTCAGTGTCCACGGCTTTGGTCAGAACCGTCTTGGCTATGGGGGCGTAGGCAATCGGCGCTGAGGCGTAGTGTCCAACACTTAGGTGAGCTGGCGTCTGGTAAGCGTAGGGTACTACTCCTGCATTAGTGACCGCTAAGAGGGTAGCGAGAGCAACAAACTGAAAGCAAATAATTAATAATTAATTAATTAGTCATTGGTGAGGTTAATCCACGGATTTTCTGCAGAATTAATTAACACACACTTTAGGCACAAATTTTAATGATTAATGAGCAATTTTTTTATATTAATATACACAATTTAAAAATTTTTTTAATATTTGTTAATCATTTTAAAATCAAAGATTTTTAATATCGATAAGAAAGTTTCATATCAAAGCGGTCTTTTTAGCGATATGTTGTTTAAGTATGCAAATTAAAAATTTTTTTATTCACTATTAATAAGTAAGAAATGATTTATTTAATTTTATTTGATCTACACGAAAAGAACAAGATGACACTGGATATCATCCCAGATTATACTCAGTGATATCTGTGGTGAAAAAAATTTCAGATAGTAGCTAGAAAAATTCGGATTATACTGCGTGATATCTGGATTATACTCATTGTAATCCAGATTATACACCGTGATATCTGGATTATACTTATTGTAATCTGGATTATATTAGCTACTATCTGAACATTTTTTTTTTTCGCTCATTATAATCTTGGATTATATCGAGTATAATCTTATTTTTTCCGTGTATGCGGTCCGTTACATATTTTAGAACTAATTACAATAAGCTGGACAATGCATTTATTCGAAAATTAAATAATTTATTGCAATATTTAAAATTCAGGAAAAATTTTGCGGATCAAAACTAAGCTGGGAATCGAATCCGGATTAATAGTAAGTATATAAATTTCAAATTCACAGTACTAGAACAACATATCACTAAACAGACCGCTTTGGCACAATTTTATATTTAATATAGCGATAATACACTTAAATGGCAAAATTACCTTGAACGCCATTATTTATAAAAATATTATTAGTGTTTCTCAGATCACGGAGGATCGAAAACTGATAGCTAGATTAAAAATTTTGGAACTTATATATGACTAGAGCCACTTGTAGAAATTACGAGTAGATAATAAAGCCTCTCACTTAAAATAAAGTTAAATGTTTTTAGCCTTGGGCAGTTAGATAGGTGATACAATGTAATGTGTGTTGTATTTTTGTTTGATATGTTGCCTAAATGATCAGATAGCCATCTGTAATTTTAAATATTTGATCTATCACCGTGCTGACAGGGCATTTAATTTTACTGCTGGAGGTTTCTCATGGACTTTTTAGAGTTAATAATCTTGATGTATTAAATAATAATAAATTATTTTTTGAGTAATTTATAATAACTTGATGAATTTTTAAACTTACATTTGAAGCTTTTGTTGGTTATTTTTTTGTTAAAGTGGAATTTGTACGGTGATACTGTGAGGTCAATGCGGTAATTTAGTCTTTTATCTTTTGTGGATATAGTATAGACATTGTATCTACATATATGTGTTTCTCAATCGAGAAAAAAAATTGACTGCATTACGTTTATTTAGTCAGCAGAAAGATTGAGGATAAATAAAATTAAAAAAAAAAAAAATCTAAATGGGAAGAAACAAATAAAAAAATAATTTTTGTTTGTAGTAATGTAATGTTATAAAAAGTGGATAAATACAGATGATCGACGGATGTATTATGTATTATTTCATGCTTTTTATAAATTAATGTGAACACATAAGACATAACACGAAAAAGATGAATAATACGAGGAAATTATTTGGTGAGAAAGGCAAATGGCCTTTAGGTCATTTAGGTGAAAGTGACGTAAGATCCAAAGTTACCTCGAGTTAATGTGTGTTACGTCGTTTGTAAAATAAAAGTGGATCAGGTGTCTGATCCGAAAGGTAAGTCAGGCCGCCGAAAATCTAGGGCGTGGTGCCTTCTGTCCAGACTCGCCGAGAATCGGACCCACCCGTTGCAACACACATTCATGTCAGGCCCTGAAAATATTACTATATTTAATTGTTTCTTTTTATTAAAGGTGATATTTAAAATACTTAAAAATTATGTATATATATAAGAAGAAATTAATAAGTAATATTATTTCTAGAGACATCGAAATTTTCGTCGGCAGATATTTGTTCTCACCTTCGAAGAGATAAGAAATTTTAATGCACTGAAAAATCATTAACATCTTCGTGAATCAAGTAAAAAGATTTTGAACTAAGAAATATCCCGCATGGAAAAATATATATGCGGAAAATATATGCAAATATCTATTTTCACATATATTTTTTTTGCGTTAAATATATGCCGACATATATGTTCACATATATGCGTGAATATATGTTCAAATATTTGCGTGCATATATGTTTACATATATGCGCGCATATATGTCTAGAGATACACAGAAAAAAATTTAACTTGAATCAAGTAAATAATTTTGAAGAATTTAACTTTCTTGATTTAAGTAAAAAAATTTTCAAACAGAAATTTTTTATTCAGTGTATGCTTACATATTGACGGTCTAATTAGCAATTTGTCTAACTCCTTATTTTTTAGAGGGTGATTTTTTAACATTTTGATGTAGCAATAGTCCAATTTTAATGTATTTGAATTATTCAAATCAAAATATTATACCTTTATTAGATATTAATGATATTAAATGGTTTTTTAAAGTAATAATAAATTTTTAACTAATTGTTTTTTTCGTACAAATGGAAGACTCTCTAAAATGGAGTTAAACAATTTGCTAATTAGAACGTCGATATATGTCTACATATATTTTAGCATATATCTCTGCATATATGTCAACATCTATGTGAAAAATATATGTTGACATATTTTTTTTTTGCGTAAATATATGCGACATATATTTTTGACATATATATTTCTCCATGCGGGATTTTTGTTTATTCAATTAAATTTCACTTGATTTAAGAATTTTTCGTCTTGATTTAAAATAAATAAATTGTTAAGGATGATTTCTGTAGTTTAAGAAATTTTTTCTTCAATCAATTCGACATAATAATTAAATAGTTACTATAGCAAATACTATTAAGATTAATAATGATGATACTAGCCAATATATTGTTAATTATCACTCAAATTGTATAATTTTCATTATTTTTGTATGTACACTACCGACAGAAAGTTTCCGGACAAGATGAAAATTTATTAAAACGATTATTAAAGGTAAAATATAAATCGAGAAGAAAGTCAATGACACGATCGTACTCAGTTTGTAAAATAAAATAGCATTTTCTTTATAGATCAAGTTAATTTGTTTATATATCATATTTAAATTAAAAAGTTAACAAGAAGGTTGTCCGCAAATTTTCCGTCGGTATTGTATATATGATGCACCCTTAATTATGTCTGTATTTTTTATAAGTTTGCCATTCGACCATTAGGCCTTGGCATAATAACGCTAATCTAATCTAATTTTTTTTGTTTTAGAACTTTTCTACTTGATTCAAGACAATGAAGTTCTTAAAAATGATTTTCTTAGTTCCAGAATTTTTGTTTGAACTAAGTTTATTTTTTTTCAACATAATATAAAAATTAATAACAATAATAATTATGAAAAATCATCATCATGCTACTCAAAATTTAACAAAAACTTGTTATTGAAGTGTCTTAACCCTTTTCTTCATTGTAAGTAAGAAGATAAATTTGAAAAAGTAATTTCTCTTTTACGGATCATTCGTTATCTGAATCAAGATAACATTCTTGAAGATATTCTTGAAGGTTACGTGCGTTAATATCCCCGGAAAAAATATTGGAAATCTCAATCAAATTCTTATAAATAATTGTATTTCATGTTACATTTTTTTATTTATAATTATGATCTAGATCGGTGCAAATTGTCATGAAATTTTAACACGTTATAACTTTGACTCAGTTGGCTTATCACGTGATTTGTTCTAATGAATATAAGATAATATTTTTTTAGAATATAATATAATTATAATTTTGGAGATTTTTATCTTCCTTAAATAATTTTGTTTTAGATTTCAGTTATAATATTTTAATATCTTTTTAAAAAGTATGATTTTTTTAATAATGAACATTAATTCTATTTTGAAATTATTTACTAGCCATTAATTTGGCCTACAATAGTTGTCATAAATGTTTACTGTAAGCTCATGTATCATGTCGAAATAAAAAAAAAAAAACCCAGAAATTGAAGTGAATTATATTTATTTAAGTCCAAACATTTTTACTACAAAAACACATTACTAAAATCAGCAATAGGCGATTTAAAATTAGTAGCGGTAGTTGTAAGCAGAGTGGCCGTAGTAGTTGGAGTAGCTGTTGTATGGCTTGTATGCGAGGGGTGCGTTGTAGCTGTTGTATGATTTGTATGTGAGAGGTGCGTACACTGGAGCGTGTACCACTGGAGTGTGTACAACTGGAGCGTGTACAACTGGAGCAACAGTTTTAACGGCGTAGTGGGCTGGTTCTTTGTGGACAACAGCGTTGAATCCGTGGTGATCATCGGCGGTGTATTCGACAGTTCTTTTGGTACCATCGGCTTCAATCAGGCTGTAGCTTCCCTTGACGACATCACCATCTCTCACTTCGTGTTGAGATTTGGAGTCACCAGTGTGGGGATCTTGGACACCGTAGTTGAAGCTGTATTGGGGGTGGTGGTCAAATTCCTCGTCAATTGGCTTCACCACGGTGTGTGAAACTACCGGAGCTGAGTAGACCAATGGAGCTTGTTCGACGTAGTGAGACGCAGCGTAGCCGTAGTGGACTGGAAGTAACCCAGCGTTGGCGATCGCCAAAAGTCCAGCAAAAGTAATGAACTAAACAAAAAATCAATAAAATTAAATTATTAAGTCATTAATTAATAAGTTGTAATAATAGTTAACTAAATGACTTACTTTGAATGCCATTGTAGTTCGTTCTACCGTTGTTGGTTGAATGATAATTTGAAATATATTTTCTCGGCTTTTATACTCCGAAAATTTCTTTGCGAACTAAGGTGGGGCAAATATCTTTGAATAAAAATTTGAATAGCGAAAGAATTTTGATTGTTCAATAGATCGCTAAACTTTATAATAGACCATTGCTCCTACCTGTCTTTAAGGAATGCGCTGAGAAACTTTCAGTTTCTAAAAAATAACGTAGGTTTGGCGGCCACGAACACACGTAACGCACCTTTTTCTTTACCAAGTGTCGTAAGTGACGAATATAAACATTTAAAATGATGATTGTCGTATCTACCTTGCTCAATATAATTGAAATATATATCAATAAATTATAAAATATTCGAAACCTTGAATTCTAAATTGGATCAAATGAAAAAAGTCTATTGGGCGTGTATGATTGACAATCCGGAACGAGTATAAGACCCACTGATTACAACAAGTATTCATGTAAGACCCTGAAAAAGTTATTCAGTAATAGATTGATAAACTTGAAAGTTATACATAATTATTGATCTATATTGCTACTCGTTTATGAGACAATCTAAATAGTTCCTTATTCAAATTTTATTTGGTATGGATTTTCTCCCACTAATTATTTACTTCGAATTTCAGTAGTATAAAAGCTGAGAAAATATATTTCAAATTATCATTCAACCAACAACGGTAGAACGAACTACAATGGCATTCAAAGTAAGTCATTTAGTTAAATCTTATTACAACTTATTAATTAACGACTTAATAATTTAATTTTATTGATTTTTTGTTTAGTTCATTACTTTTGCTGGACTTTTGGCGATCGCCAACGCTGGATTACTTCCAGTCCACCACGGCTACGCTGCGTCTCACTACGTCCAACAAGCTCCATTGGTCTACACAGCTCCGGTAGTCTCACACACCGTGGTGAAGCCAATTGACGAGGAATTTGACCACCACCCCCAATACAGCTTCAACTACGGTGTCCAAGATCCCCACACTGGTGACTCCAAATCTCAACACGAAGTGAGAGACGGTGATGTCGTCAAGGGAAGCTACAGCCTGATTGAAGCCGATGGTACCAAAAGAACTGTCGAATACACCGCCGATGATCACCACGGATTCAACGCTGTTGTCCACAAAGAACCAGCCCACTACGCCGTTAAAACTGTTGCTCCAGTTGTACACGCTCCAGTAGTACACACTCCAGTAGTTCAAGCTCCAGTGTACGCACCTGTCCCATACAAACCATACAACAGCTACAACGCACCCCTTGTATACAAATCATACAACAGCTACAACGCACCTCTCGCATACAAACCGTACAACAGCTACTCCAACTACTACGGCCACTCTGCCTACAACTACCACTACTAATTTTGATTTGTAAATTGCCGATTAGAGAAATGTTTATTGGCTTGTAAAAAGTTACCTATGTTTTGAATAAAAAAGTTATAATCTGAATTATTATAAATTACCTTATTTTATTCAAAAACTTTGAAAACCTATATCAAATTTTCACAATTGATTCTGTCTTATAATGATTTTTCGTTATTATGATTTGATTCGAAGATTATAATATAATTATAATTTATTCACGCTTATAATGCTAAAAAAGTGCATCGCAAAATATATAGCAAAAGATTATTTCATTTGTATCTATACAGCCATCAAAGACAATATTAAATTATTAAATAATTTCAGATATTTGAAAAAATAATGTTCTGTTGACATAAAATTTTTTTATCATTTGTTAAAAAAAACAAATCTATCAAAATTAACGACGAACATAATTATGGTCAAGAAGGTTGTGAGTGCAATTAAAACTTCATAAAAAAATATTTTTATCGTTTTCTTATCTGAAACTAAAACGAGACAATAGTGTGTAATAAAAACATTTTTTTTTATTATTATAGGATCAATAATTATAATTATCCGTAAAGATTAAAAAATTTGTCGAAAACAATCTTTAAATACTGATTAAGTATCATGCTACTAAAGCCAAACGAGTTTATTGTTCATTATGTGCCTTTTTAGCTCTACAGAGTCAAAAAAGCATATAAAATTTTTTTTTCGTTATAATCAACTTTGAAAAATTAAATATGAGAAAATTTATTGAATAAATAAAAGTTATTGTGTAATTAGCAATGCACCTTTTTAGATTTAGTCTCATTACATTTTCATGTTAAGTGCAACCTTTCATTTTTGAATGGAAAATATTTTTTTATTGAAGATTTTATTTATCTTCTTTCTTTGAAAAATTGATGTAATTTACAGGCCATTGTAAAGGATATATGATAAATTGTAAAGAAATTTGAAAATTAAAAAACAAAATCACAGCGTAGCTTTTATGTCGTTGGCTCATTGAGTAATTTTTATTGATCTAGTTAATTAGCCATTGGCTTGATATAAAATACCGTGTGAACATTACTGCAAAAACAAATGAGTAATTAAAGAGTTAAAAAAACTGTTCAAACGACTAGTATTAGCAGTTGTTGCCGAGATGGTTATTGCTTCAACAGCTTTAGACGATAAGCGTCCTAGAAGTAAGAAGTTGAAAAGAAGAATATATATGAAAATGATATTTTGAAAAAGGAATAAAAAAAACCTCTAAATTGACTAAAAGTTATCCACGTTCAGTTTGGAAGAGTTAGCACTGAAAAGTGTATTTGAAAAAAAAAAACAACATCTTAGTTGAGACGGGTTTTTTAATTTTTTATACTAACTTTTGTTCAAGTTTACAATAATTCTTATATAAATATTTGTCGTAAACTTATACTTCGTGTGTGATCTAACAAAAATAAATCAAAAAGTTAAAGTAAGTAATATTTATTTGAGCGGTTCGAAAACATTTTTACAATAAAATAAATATTACTGAAATCGGCAATAGGAAATTCAGAATTAGTAGTGGTAGTTGTAGGCAGAGTGGCCGTTGTAGTTGGAGTAGCTGTTGTATGGTTTGTATGCGAGGGGTGCGTCGTAGCTGTTGTATGATTTGTATGTGAGAGGTGCATACACTGGAGCTTGAACTACTGGAGTGTGTACTATTGGAGCAACAGTTTTAACGGCGTAGTGGGCTGGTTCTTTGTGGACAACAGCGTTGAATCCGTGGTGGTCATCGGCGGTGTATTCGACAGTTCTTTTGGTACCATCGGCTTCAATGAGACTGTAGCTTCCCTTGACGACATCACCGTCTCTCACTTCGTGTTGAGATTTGGAGTCACCAGTGTGGGGATCTTGGACACCGTAGTTGAAGCTGTATTGGGGGTGGTGGTCGAATTCCTCGTCAATTGGCTTCACCACGGTATGTGAAACTACCGGAGCTGAGTAGACCAATGGAGCTTGTTCGACGTAGTGAGACGCAGCGTAGCCGTAGTGGACTGGAAGTAACCCAGCGTTGGCGATCGCCAAAAGTCCAGCAAAAGTAATGAACTAAACAAAAAATCAATAAAATTAAATTATTAAGTCATTAATTAATAAGTTGTAATAATAGTTAACTAAATGACTTACTTTGAATGCCATTATAGTTCGTTCTACCGTTGTTGGTTGAATGATAATTTGAAATATATTTTCTCAGCTTTTATACTACTGAAATTCGAAGTAAATGATTAGTGGGAGAAAATACATACCAAATATAATTTAAGTTAGAAAGAAATTTAGAAGGTCATATAGACCAGTAGCAATATAGATCAATAAATATGTATAACTTTCAAGTTTATCATGTTATTTTTGAATTATAATTTCAGGGACTGGCGTTATTACGTCTTGGAATCGGTGAGTCCCATACTCGCTCTATATATTGTCAATCAAGTACCTCTTTCATTCGATCCAATTAAAAATATGAGGTTTTGAATATTATATAATTTGAAGAATGTTTTAATTATATTGAGCAAGGAAAATACGGCAATCATTATTCTAAATGTTTATATTTATCATCTACGATATTCTGTAGAAAAAAGGATTATTCGCTAAAAAAATTATGTTATTATGCTAAACGGCTTTTTTTAACGATTGGAGAAATTTTTAATTTACAAGTTCTTCTAGCTTCGAAAAATTCATCAACATTATTAAAAATAATTTTCGGCTATTGTAATGAACATGAAATTCCTTACTTGGAATCAATATTAACTGATATTATTGTTTAATAATTTATAAGCAATTAACAATTGATTGTTTCTTCTAATTAAAAGTTTACATTCTTTGTAAAGTCAGACAAAAAAAATTGTATAGAATGTCTACGATTGACAATCCAGATCAAGTAATCGATCTACCTATTACCACTTTTAATCACGCCAGACCCTGAAAATATAACGCAATTTCTTTCGGTAATAGTTTGATAAACTTGAAAGTTAGACGTAATTATTGATCTGTATTCATGCAAGTCTATGAGACAATCTTAATTCTTGCCTTACTTAAATTTTACTAGATAGGAATTTTCTCCCACTTATAACTCTTTCAAAAATTTAGTAGTATAAAAGCTGAGAAAATATATTTCAAATTATCATTCAACCAAAAACGGTAGAACGAACTATAATGGCATTCAAAGTAAGTCATTTAGTTAACTATTATTACAACTTATTAATTAATGACTTAATAATTTAATTTTATTGATTTTTTGTTTAGTTCATTACTTTTGCTGGACTTTTGGCGATCGCCAACGCTGGATTACTTCCAGTCCACCACGACTACGCTGCGTCTCACTACGTCCAACAAGCTCCATTGGTCTACTCAGCTCCGGTAGTCTCACACACCGTGGTGAAGCCAATTGACGAGGAATTTGACCACCACCCCCAATACAGCTTCAACTATGGTGTCCAAGATCCCCACACTGGTGACTCTAAATCTCAACACGAAGTGAGAGACGGTGATGTCGTCAAGGGAAGCTACAGCCTTATTGAAGCCGATGGTACCAAAAGAACTGTCGAATACACCGCCGATGATCACCACGGATTCAACGCTGTTGTCCACAAAGAACCAGCCCACTACGCCGTTAAAACTGTTGCTCCAGTTGTACACGCTCCAGTAGTACACACTCCAGTAGTTCAAGCTCCAGTGTACGCACCTCTCACATACAAATCATACAACAGCTACGACGCACCCCTCGCATACAAACCATACAACAGCTACTCCAACTACAACGGCCACTCTGCCTACAACTACCACTACTAATTCAAAATTTTGCAATACCAATTCAAATAATGTATTTTTTTGATTGAAAATTATAATTTTTTATCCTATATCTCAATCAAACATAAGTTTTATTTTTTTTGTACCTTTTACTCACGATGTAAATCCGCAAGCAGCTTCAACTTTTTTTCTCTGACCACTAACTTCATACTTCCAACTTTACTAATGTCTTACTTTCCTTGCAGAATTATATACCTCCTGAATAAACATCATCAACCACAACTCTGCGGTTCTTTTTATCAGAATATCTAATAAATAATAAATAAGGAATAAAACACAACAAGAAAAATCATGAACCTGTGTCGAAATTTCCTTACAAAGCAATCGAGCATTGAAATCGAAAGGGCTTGAAGGTCTCGAAGCACTTGAAGTGGCCAAAACAAAGGCAAAAGCGTCATCTTTAGTTACATCGATATTACATAGAATTGCTGCATTATATCGCCAATGAACTGCCTCGGCCCACTTTCTAGATAGTTATTCATGAGAAGAGCCGGTGGGCAGGGCGGGTACACTGGAAACAGTTCATTGTCTGTGCAACCATCAAACTGACCAGTTGTCCTTGGTGCACAATAACAAGATCCTATAATAATGATTATCGTCATTTCGATATGTAGTCAGTTAAATTCATGCTCATTAAACTATATACAGCTATCGCGAAGTAAAATTATTTCTCTCGCTGATATCTTTTTCAAGAGATCCTGATGTACTCTCATCAATTTCGGTAATTGTCATTCATATCATAAAATAATTGAGTTAATAAAAAAAGCATTTGATACAGCGTTCACTTTATTTGATAATAATAATGACGTTGAAAATATACTTCCAGTATATTTTGATGTTATTTTTTGCTTTTAAAAACGCGAGCTTTAGTTTTGTTTGTTTTTTATGTTATTTGAAGCGAAGGCTTTTATAATCCTCATTTTTTATCTTTAATTAACAAATGTCGACTTCGGATACACATATATTATAATATGCGAATCATTGAATTATTGGTTTATGGTTTTTGGAGATTGGCAATATGATAATAATCCATACAATCGTTTACATCCACGCCCCAAGCGATATTATTATTAATTGCCTCGACTTACGTAATTATGTTGATGAAATAAATTATTATTAAAAATAAAAGAAAAAAAAATTAAATATACATGTATATTTAATGAAGAATGAAAGTAAAATAAAATTCCGTTGTTGGATTATTTAATTTGTATGAATTCATACAATATACTTCCATCATGTTCATGGTCACTGAAAAATAAACAGGGAACAGACTTTATTGTTGTTTTTATTATTTTTTCTTCTATGGTATTTATTTTTTTTGAGCTACTCCAGTTAATTATTTTATTTAATGCAATGTTAGTTTTCATTTTAACGATATTATTTTTTTAAGTGGACATATAAGTCCAGAGAAAGTGTCCAAGGCACTTGCTCAAATGCACGCAATCTCAGCTGTCAAAATATAAGTCTATTTAAAATATATAACACGAGTGTGTTGAAAAAAAAAAAAGTTGTGTAGGTATGAATAAAAATTGATTTTTAGAGCGTGGAAAAATATTTACTTGTGTATTATATGTATACATATATATTATGCGCGTAACATATTACTCAAATTAAAGATTATGAAGTCTTGATAAATTTATATCAACTCAGGATATTTTATAATTGTGGCAATTTATTTTTTATATATTTTAATTAAACTTTTATTACTGAAATAATTTTCTTGAGTTTTTTCATTGAAAATCTTCTAATTTTTTATCGAGCGCTCATTAATATAATTTTAAAACAAAATTTATTTTCTAAAAAATTTCTAAGAATAATAAAATTTTATTTTTTAAAGCTCAATTTTTTATAAAATTCTCAATAAAAAATCTTAATAATTTCACTTTTTTGCGAATATTCTTTAAAAAAAAATTTTTATTTTTTTTAAAAAGAACTTTTAGAGAAAATTTTATTTATTTTACAAACAAAAACGAAAAAACGATGAAGATTTCTTAAGTTATTATTTTTATATTAGTTTTTATTAATTTACTACATTTATGAATGTTCAAAATTATCAGAATAAATTAAAATAAAAGATCTAATAATATTTTAATCATAAATTACTTACTCTGAAAAATCTGAAAATACTAACACATAAAAATCTTTGACCATGATTCTGCTTAATCATAACCGAGAATACTTAATTTGTAAACAAAGTATGTAATACAAGAAGTCCATAAATTTCAAGGGTGTAAAAATTAAGTCTTCATAAATTCTTAATAATTAAAATTTTCCAAGACCCGCAAAGCAACTGACTACACAGTGATGAATAAAAATTTTAAATCCCAACGCAGACCTCAGAGTTTCTGATAAATAATTCTGCATTTAATTTTACGAGCGTCTCCATCGTGTTAAAATTATTAATTTTTTCAGATCGTGCAGATAAGCCCGCATGAGTAATTGATAGGAATGTCTAATAAAAAAGCTGTAAGTTAAGAAATCATGTAGCTGATTTCCATCAACATCGTAATTTACTTATTTATTTTTAATTCTAACAAAATTTATAATTTTACCGAAAGACACGCTTATTTTCAAAGTGATTCAGGATCAAGATCAACGAACAACTTTTACAAGTCATTTTTCAAAATAAATTTATATATTCATATAAATAAATTCATAAGTATAAATATAATACTGTAAACTTTATATTTATTTATATTTTTTTTTATTTCATAAAAGACTTTGTTAGTTAAATTTTATTGCTGCATTTCTTCGTACAGAAATCGTGGTTACCGATTTCCATGACGATACTGCGGGGATTTAAATCAACAGATTGCCGACGATGGCGTTACCTCCTTACGCAGTGGAGAAAGTGAACAACCGCGTAAGCTAATCGGCTGCATGTATCTTACGTGTTTTCAGTTACCACCAATTGAACATGATGATTGCTTGATTTAATTTAAATAGTAATTATACTAATTAAGTATCCTTTAATTAATAGGTAGTTATGGAATAATTGTTTTTTAATAAAATATCATAGTGCAGAAAAATATTCAATTATAGGAAATTTTTCATGTGTATTTTTAAAAATACTTATAAAGTTAACGTAAACATATAATTACAAGCTTTTATTGCAAATTCAGTAGACATATAATTATTTATTATTATCGTTTATGTACATAAATATATAAATATAAAATAGAACTCATTATTCATCACGGGAAAAGATGATGTATTGCACTGCCTTATAGAAAGCTGAGAGTATGAATCATCGAATCAAAGTAAGCAGTTTCGTTGTATTTTAGAATTTGATTGAATCAGTCGACGTGAAAGAATTTTTGTATCAGTTTTTTTACAATAAATTGGTATGAAAAATAACTTTTCTTTTAAATCTAAATTTTATCTCATTTTTTTGTAACTATTTATTCCTTTCTTGATAATTGTTGAAAAATTAAAAAAAAAAACTGGGAAATTAAAAAAATTTTTCTACTTTTAAATTTAAATTTTAGACTGATTTAAAATTCTATAAAAATTGATCAAATAATTTTCTTATGAAATCAAAAAGCATCAATTTAATTGCGTAAAAAGTAATTATTGACCGTACTACTGATTACTTAAAAACATTGCATGATAATTAATAGTTAACAATCTTAACAACAGGTTAAACTTTTTTTAATGAATTTTAATTATTGACGATTAATTGTGCCGTGCAATTTTTTCAACAAACAATAGAACAGTTTATGCTGCTGTGTGAGTTAATTTTGTATTAATGTCTCATCTAAATATTTTTTTATTTTAATTATTGACAATAGAAATCTAGAACAACGTGAATTTAACCTTATTAATTTTTTATTTATAAAAAAAAATTCATTTTTCACTTAAATGCAAAATAAAATATGTTGATTCAGTATGTAATAAAATTACTTAAAAAGTCATAAAATCAGTACTGGAAAGTAATTATTTCACTTTAATTACAACGCCAAATTAAAAAAAAGATGTAAACATACTATCTTTGGAAAAATTGATTACTTTCTTATTTTTTCTATAACTTTTAAGGTATCAAGGATACGTCGATAAGCCATGAGACTTCTTTTCAAGCAGATTAAATTTCCTGGTTTTTATTTAAAATATTTATTTTTCGCTACTGACTTCATTTGAAAATATGTCTACCTTTTTTATTTTTTTTTCTTCTATTAATATATATCTTACCGATAAAAAAATTATTTTGTAAAAAAAAAATCTCGAATTAATAGAAAATAATTTTCTAGTATTTAATAATCTTAAATCAAGCAAAAAAAATTTTTAAATCTATTAAAATTTACTTTAATCAAAAATAATTTTTTAATTAAAGAATTTTATGTGCTTGATTCTAGATAATCAAACTTTTAATATTTTTTTTTCTTTGAAAACTTTTTTTTTTAATCAAGTCAAGTTTTTTCTATCTATGTACAATTTTAAAAATCAAAACTAAAAAATCAATAAAACTTTTTTAATTTTATAACATAACAATCCAAAAAGAATCTTTTAAAAACATATAAATAAATTTAATATACCCCTTAGTCCTTTTAAGCCATTTTGGTACATATTTTCCCTCCATAACTCGAAAAATTAAATTTTACCTCTATATCTCGAATATAAAAATGTTTTATTTTACAACCTTTACTTAGACAATGCTATAGATAAAGAACAACCGAATAATCTAAAGCAAAAAAAATTACTGACTTTTTTTAATGCCATATTTTTTTATTTTAAGGATGTTTTGAAATAATGTTGATTTATAATAAATAAAAAAATGTGTGTCACCTCTGCAACTTGAATTTTTATTTATTTTACCTCTTTAACTCAAAATTTGTAAGAATGAATCTCAAACCCTTTATGTCGAATCAAAATCCGCCTAAGTCGAAAACTCTATAACTCGAATTTTTTGGCGTCTCCCTTGATGTTCGACTTATAGAGATTCTACTGTATTATGAAGATTATCATTGATGATTTTTTTTTTATGT